GGTCTCCAATTGAAGGAGGTCACAGACATTTTTGTGTGAGGCTGCGTATCACTGGCCGGCCAGCTGGGCCCCGGGAGCTGCCCAGCATGCTTAATCAAACAGTAATTATACACAAAGGCACGGGCACTGTGGGGCACAGGGGCTCCATCACGCACGTCTTTTTATTTGGCATTATTACCAAAATTCAGACAATGCCTTCAAAGTTTTTGCGCCAGTTAGTGACCTTTAAATGAGAGGACGGAATATATGAAAAGAGTCCGCCGTAGGTCTGCGATGATGCGTACAGCCTTTCAATATTTTATCTGCCGTCTCAATTATTGATCATTTGTTCTGTTGATAAAAAGGTCAAAAAGAGGACGTTCTGTTCGCACTGTGGGGACATCGTCAAGCTGTGCTTCGCGTCCGGGTCACACACAGTTTACAAGGACAACAGACCTGGATTCAAAATGATTTCTAATACATTCTTCTGGCTGCTTGGGGGACAATGGAAACCAGCTGTGAACACAAAATATAATTTTCAGATTATGTCGCTTGTATGAAAAGGGATTTACGTTCAGATTAGAATCCAATGTTTTCTATATATTTCATATTTAATTATCGGGCTTTAGCCATGTAGCTGCTAACTTTGTCCAACGGTTGTTCGCTGATTCCTTCCTGTAAAGTGGCCATTTTTGGACCAAAGAAAATGTCTCGCAAACCTTCCGAATCCTTTGGAAGCAAATTTAAAATATAATTTATCCAGGCCAAAATGGAACCTCGTCTAAATGAGGGTATCCAGAAATGTGCACTGTACAACAAGCGGCACACAACGTGATGGAGCCCGAGAGCGTGCAAACCCAGCAGAACCTCGTAGCGGGTCGACTTGTGTTTGATTGGTCGAACCCGAAAGCAATTTGCAACTAGCGTGCCGACTGCTGAATGCCCAAAAGGGGAGCGTGCTCCTGTGTCCCTCTTCCATGTGCGATGGAGACCACTGTACTGTAGCGCAGCTGAGGGCCTCTCTCTTTTGGCCCCGGCCGGCTGAGCATCTGAGTACTTTGCGCCACAAAGGAACCTCTGTGGCCGACAACACTCGAGTGGCCGCCGTCTGTTTTCGCGAGTCTCAGGGTGTCGCACAAACGTTTTTTCCATGCAAGCGTCTTTTCTTTCAACCCCCTCCTTGTTTTTTAGAGGCCCTTTTTTTCCCCCTTCTCCTCTGCTTTTCCTCTCAGTGGCCCCTACTGAAAGGACGGGGACAGACACTCGGCTCAGCCGAAGGTTTGTCTGCCACTATGGTTAGCTTTGGTCTGGAACAAAAGCTTACAGACGCTGCCCACACACAGCAACACCCCCCACCCCCCCCAAAAGAAATAAGTCTACAACAGACTCCCACGTTCTCCCTTAACTCCCTTTAGCCGTTATCTCCGTCGTTCTTTTGGTGACAAGGCATTCCCTTCAGAAGATCCCCCTTTGTTTCGAGCGGCCGGTAACCTTGGCCACTTCAAATGCTCGCTAACTGCTGTTTAGGCTCTGCTTCACGTCATGATGAAAAGAGGCACCGAGGACCCCGTCGGATGAGACGGAAAGCCATCTACAGCTGTACCACATTGTTCATAGGAAAAGCTAATTCCCAATTCATTGTCACCCTTTGACCCGTGTCTTTGGTTACACATTTTAAATTGAAACCCGCTCGCTTCAAGTTTGTTTGGCCTCGAGCCTCACCAGCCGACGAGCGGAAGACTGCTCTCAGAAAGTCATGAAACAAAGCCGCAGACGTGGTCTTCAACTGCTCCGGGTAAATGGACCAAAATGCAGCGTGCTTCATCTGGATTCCATCATACCGCTCAGTCGACCGGGGAGCTTCCCGTGCAGCAACACATGTAAAAAAAAGTTGGCACCGTCTCTCTTAAAGTAATCCGGTCAAAGCCCCTCCAAGAGATGTCTCGTATGCACTACGGTTTTGTTTGAGAAAATCCTCCCGCACGGGAAATGCACAATATCAGTACAAATTAATCACAGCTTTTATTTGAGCACATTTCCCCAAATGGTGTTCCTTTATTTATTTATTTATCCCGGACTAAAGCAGATCACAATTTCGATGCGATCAAATAGTTTTATATTAAATTCCAATAAGTGAAATACTATTCAGTAGCTGGAGTAACTTATTGAATAACTTCTCATCAAAAGTTGATGGGAGGAGTAATGGGAGCTGCGAGCACACACACACACACACACAACTATCTGTACGAACTTTTACCATTATATTGTTACAAAAGCGTGATGTCTAATACAAGCTCATTTTGGCAATGGACTGACTGGAGGTTTTTCAAAAGTATTTTTCCAGAAGTGCGACTAGAAGATAAGACCAACATCATTCTGTGTGTCACGTTGACCTGATACTCACCAGCTTCTCATCGACAGTAATAAGTTGCGTGTCTTGTCCTGGCTTCCCTGCCAGCCTTGATGTTGATGTGCTTGCAGACCTGAAAGCCATTAGATAGACGTTACACGCCAAAAGCAGACAAGAAACAAAGAAGTTAATTACACAAACAAATTGCACTCCGCAATCCCAGACCATCTTGGGTGAGGATACGGTGAATGTTAGAGACCAGGAGGGAATCCCCCCTCCACTTATTAGTTCTGTCTGGTGAATCTCTGGCAGACTCTCGCTCTCGTCCTAATGACAGGACGTGCTTAACGTTGGCCGTGGTCGACTGTCAGGCGAGGACTGTGTGGCTCTTTGTGAATGTGCAGCCGTGTTCTGTCACAAAACAGCAATGTGCCACCATGGCTCAGCGAGCGAAAGGCATTATAGAGAATCACATTCCGGATAATAACCCGGATAAATGCAATTATACATATATAATTATAGATTATATATGTCCCCCAAATTATATCATATTTGAATTTTAATATAAAGAAAACAGAGGATGTCGTTGTGTTTCTAGTGGGAAAATTCTATATGGAATCAAACATGTATAGATTATTATTATGTTTTCTGTTCTTTATTCTGTGAAAAAAAAACAGGAACAGTCTTTTATTAAATACCTTTTTTTTTATTTTTTAAATGGGCCCCCATTTAGGTATGGAAGAAATTTTGGATTTTCACTTTGACGACACCAGGCATCTGGTTATGTAATGCACCAATCAGCTAAAATGTAGCGACCTCATGGAAAAAGAAGGAAAAATGAACGGCCACTATTTCAGGATCGCTCCACCTGACACTTCACTCTTGAAATGATTGTAAAAAAATGGAAAATTACAGAATGAAGACGTGGACTATGAATCAAATCATAGGAAATGTTGAAATGACAAACCGGCAAGCAATCTCGGATCTTGTTCAGCTTGTATTAGTCAAATGATTGAGAAAAATGTATGTTTTTGACACTTTGCAGTCGGGAAAACATTTAATTGGAGTATGAAATGAATTATTTTGAAATTATTGAAAAGATTAGATGAGACTTATTACTGTGGGTGAAAATAACTACGACTACGAAATACGACGTTAAAAACACACCTTTTGGAGATTTACGTTACATTTGTGCGGAGTACACGATATTAAATGCACTTTGCATGCTATGAATTAAATAGAAAAGCACAGAGTACGTCCACTGATGTCAATGTACTTCGTACAAGTACTGCGAGCAATCACCACTAACGTCATTATGTAAGTTAGCAGTTAGCTGTGACATAAATCAGCTTGTGACCTCTCCGGTAAGGTCACTTTAAAGACTTTAAAGTCCCCGTCCCGCAGCACGCTGCCGGGGGTCACGTGTGGCGCACAGAGCAGCTTTCAACGTCGTTAGATCCGATAACTGACAAGCCAGGCGAAGCTAGCTTTGGCTAATTAGCTCGCTAGCACAGTGCTGTAAGGACACGAGGATAACATCAACATTAGGTAACAGTCAAATCACTTAAAATAATTAAGATGCGAGCAAGAAGGAAGAAAGGTGTGTATACTGACCCGTTGAGCGCAATAAAGAACCAGCCCCTTTAAAATGATATATTTAACGTTACGTATTTTAACGCTAGCTAGCTGGCAGATCATCCCTTACTAGCCGGTGACCTGCGGGCTGCTGGCTTCGTATTTAGTCGACATGTTTCAAACACACTCCTAGTAGCACGCCAGAATACAACATTAATGAATAATTGATATAGAATTTACCTGATTGGATTCAGGGCCAATTTATATGCTGCATTGATCCCGGCTAAACGTCCCAGGCCGAGAAGTGACATTGAGGCCGCCATGATTGTTGTTAACGGAGTACGGAGACCGCAAAGGGACAAACCGTGCGAGCCGCGGTGGAGACAGCTGAGTGAGAGACGCCGGACTGATGCCAGCAGCTAGGATTACGTTACACGGAGACTCTACATGCAGCGAGACGTGTCCAGACACGTCTGCCGTCTATTCACGCCGCGGATGGTAGTGTCATGGCAAAAATAACGGTGAGGATGGTGCTAATGCAAAGCAATAGCACATGCGGAGGAACTGAGCTTTGCTTCATGAGAACCTCATAGAAAATAGTCCTTTCCATTTATTCCTTTTTATCAACCAGACTGTGGTTTAAAGGAATATGAGTTTCCTCACATTGTTCTGTTCAATTAAATGGTTTCAGTTTGATTTATTATACGTAATATTCCAACAGATTTTGTGACTTGTGTAGACATTTTAAAACATATTCACAGCTTATGTAGTGATTATAGGGTCATAATAGACTATATTACACATTCTGCTGTTGGCCTAAAACCTGTTTATTGTTTTCTAATCAGGGTTTAATTGGAACATTCAGTACTCAAGGTGGCAATATAAAACCCGTATCTGGGCGAATGGCATTCCAGATAGAGTACACTCATCAATAAAAACAAGGAATTGAAAGCAGTGTTTGTTTTTGGCTGATGCACATATATAGCAACTTTGCTCAACCCCATACTGCATTCAGGTCTAAACATCTTGGTCCACTTGGAATTGAACACATAGTTGCACATATTAATCATAATGGAATTAAACAGCACAGTCAGAAAAAGTGTAAGGAATTTTTTTTTATTGTTTCACTCTTCATATCTGTACAAATACCATCAAACTTTGTATGTACATATGACATTTACATAAAAAATACAAAACTATATCTTCATAACAGAATTTTGTATTTCTCTTGTGATGTTTGAAAATAAAAATGCATTCTGCAAAAAAAAAGAGGAAAAGAAACAGAATCTGATATAGCAAAAGAGTACTGCGGTCCTATTTTAGCTCTGTGGGAGCAAAATGGAGCACATTGGCAAAAAGACAGCACACAAATGTTAATGGCACATTGTTTCCAAAATAATCAAGTATTGTCCAAAACTCTGCTCTAATGTGGTCAGACAAAATAAATGCTATTGAATAATGTTTTACGTTTTTTGTCTCCAAGTGGAAACAAATCTGAGGGGCTGAAATTGAGAAATAACCAAAGAAATAAGAAAAGAAATACAAATGGCTCGTTTTTTTTCTCTTCCATTTCCTCACTGCTGTGTTGCAATCTTTATAATGCTCGTTTTATGCCAAACCATTGAGATAACCCTTTGGTCAGTTCATATGAGTTGTAAATAAATCAGAAACACTTCTGTACATAAAATGATTGATATATTCCCAATAAATAAACACATAGCCTAAACATGCATTTACGTATGTGTGACATAAACATCTGTGATAGAGATTTGACAGAAATACGCCGATTTTTTACAGCTTCAGGGAATGCAATTTACAGCTTATAGAGGACTTATACTTACACGGTAACATGACAAATAAATAACACTGCTTCTCTTTGGACAAATATATTTCTTCATGATAAAAAAAAGAAAGTAAAAAGGGACAACAACAAACAGGGGAAATGAGTGGTAAAACAATATATCATGGTAGATAGTAAGCCTGACATTGTAACTGTATAAATTATAAAACACACACAAAAAAAGTATAAATAAACATCTAGAAGACTGAGCTATATGTATACTTCCTTCTTCTTTAAAAAATAAATAAGCATACACATAATGTACAGTACGGACATGATTCCTTGCGCTAGGACTGTTCCCCTAGTGACGGGTGCCTATCCATCCAGTATAGAAGATATATGGACATAGGCCATGTAGTCTGAGTCCTCATCATCCTCATCCACCTCCTGGTCTTCTGTAATAGCTATATGGGAGAATATACGGTAGCTGATGTATGAATATGGACCACGACAGCGCAGAAAATCACTGAACGTTATTTTTCACACAGCCCCCCCTCCTTTGTTTCTTTGTATGCGTTTGTGTGAGTTTGTGTGTGTGTGTGTTTTTTGTTCTGCGTGAGGAAGGGTCTCTTTGACTTGGCATCAACAAAGACGGTGGCATCCTGAATCTTAAAACTTATATGATGTAACAAGTCAGGGCTGCAACGAGAGAAAACATTGGGGCGATAGAAAAGAAGGGCGCAAGGGAGGCTCTGGAGGGGAGGGGGCTGCAAGGGCGTCACAAGGTGGGATAGGCGGCATTGGATTGGTTCCAGTGGGTGAAGTCTGTTTTGGGGATGTTTCCCTGAAAGCAGACCCAGCGTGACACACAGAAAAAAAAAGGTGCTGTTGTGTTCTCGGATTTGCTATTTCTTTGCTCCGATTGTTACAGTCTGGCTCAAACGTACAGGGAGGGAGGACTCTGTGTCGATGCCTGGCCTAAGCAAGCAGGTCAGAGGTCAGCAACACAGTTCTGAGGTATTTTCTTTTCTTTTTACAGAAGAGATTTACATCGGACACAAAAAAAAGAAAATTAAAAATCACAAAAGCAACAGCAAACGACAATGCGAAAAACAAACAAAAAATCAGGCAGTCCCTTATCAATCCAAATAGATTTGTGATATCTGATACATACTCTGGTAGACAATACATTCACTGGAAACAGCACGCACCACGAGACGCCACCTGGCGAGTGTCTTTTTGTAAGGATGAGATGAGAAGGAGGGTGTGTGTTCTACGAGCTCATGTAAAAGTATCACATTCATATTTAGCTCATGAGGCGATCACAAAGTTGGTCCCTGGGATTCCATTGCTTTCCTTAGGTACGTCACATTAAGGTACTCAGTCGGGGAGAAAGAGAAGAAAACTAACAAGGGGACACTCTCCTACTCTCTTGACTTAAGTTCAAATCCATCATCTTGGTCGCCAACGTGGCACCAAGGTTACAATCACCTTATGCACATCGTACGAGTGTGTTCAAAAGTCGGCAGTGAAGTGAATGTCACGAGAGGCGGTGCTGTTTGAATTTGATTGATTACAGCCGAAAGCGATGAAAAGGGATCAAAATAATAACACAAAAAACACAAATACACTATTACCCAAGAGATTAGCAAATGTGACTATGGATTTAAAATCTGTAAAGATATGAACGCTATCAGAAAAAAAGAAACCCTATTAAAAAAGTGATGACACCAATTCCATCCAAAAGCATACTAACCTGCTTCTGCAGGTCACAAGCGTTTCTCCTTTATTAATTTGTGTGGTGGAGTTAGTTTTTACCAGGACTCTTAGTCGTGAGTCTACTGATATATAGCTATGTTTTTTTAATTTAACTTTCTGTCCTTTTCTTTTTCAGAAGAATGAAAAAAAAAGTTTTAAAATAAAAAAAGAGCCAAAGCCAACGACAAAGACAACATCATGCAAGTTCTTCTCTTTCCAAATCCTCTTCTTGAGGGGGCACACACGCAGAGGGGGGGGGGGGGGGGGGTGGAGGGGTCCTTACAATGGAAAATGTCTTTTTTTTTCAAAAAAGGAAAAAAGGCGGTTTTTGGGGGGGGGGGGGGTTCATTTTCTTTCATTTTTTGTTGTTGTTGCTTCTTATCATCTACTTACAGTTGCAAGATCCCAAGTGCTTGGCCTCCAGCAGCGCCCCCAAGGAGCAAGCGGCCTGCTTCATGGCGCACTCGCTGGGGTACGTGGTGTTGTCGCTGGCGCACACCGCCTCGTCCGTCCGGCTCTCCGGACAAGTCTCCCCGCACATCGAGCAGCGGCCCCGGCTCATCCGCGCGTCCCACAGGCACTTCTTGCCCGCGCTGCACTGGATGTCCTCACACGACTTGGCCTCTGGAGAGAGAGAGAGAGAGAGAGAGGAGGGGGGGGGGGTCTTTTTGATTATCATGCGTTTTTTGGACAGCTGAAGTCGGAATAAAAAATGAATCCAATTTATAAAATGTTGTTTGCATTCAAATATGAACTCGAAGCCTGTCTCCGTGGCCCCAGCACTCCCCCCCTACGCCCCTCTCTCCAATACGGGAAAGTGCTGCCAACATCAGGAAATAATATGATTCTATTATTTTTTGAGCAAAGACAAACTACCAAACACTCACACACTCTCTCTCTCTCTCTCTCTCACTAGACCCCCCTCCTCGATGGAATGTTGGCATAAAACACTGACTGCAGAGCTGAAGCAAAGGCACTCAAAACAACATTCAAAGTCAGTGGCTGGAGGCGCGCCACCGACAGCCTCGCGCTCTCGCGTGCCCGCGACTTACTGATGCATTTCCCTTCGTACGCCACTCCGATGGACCTGCCGAGGAGACAGGTCGCTCGTCTCAGGTGACACGCGCTGGCGTACACGATCCCGTCGTTTCCGCACAGGTACTGCTCCGGCGACGTCACCTCGGGGCAAATCCGATTACACGTCACGCAGTACGCGTTGTTCGTCTGGTCCACGACGCACGTGGAGCTGCCGGGGCACAAGACGTCGCGGCACGTTTCTGTCGGGACAAACCACAAGTCTAGACGTGGCACAAATCACGAGGAGCGGGGCGGGATCGCACGTAGCGTGCACTTACTCTTGCACTTTCCCTGGTACTGCACGTCCAGGTCCGGGTGGCCTTTGCATTTCGCTTTGAGCAGTGCGCATTCGTCTTTGTAGGTCTTTCCGTCTGAGCCGCAGACCGGTCCTTTCCAGGTGATGTTGGTGCAGTCCGGTGCGCACACGCAGCGGGGCTTGCTCCTTCTGTTCATCTTGCACCTCTTCCCGGGCCCGCAGTCAACGTTATCGCAGGATTCTAAAATGCAAACAAAAGAAAGGAAAAGTTAGGTGACTGTTGGGCGACACGCGCGGGAGAGCGCGCGGCTCGGCGCTCTGGGGATTTTGTGTCACGAAACGACTTGTGTTGTGTGTTACGAAGATAACGAAGGGAAAGGAGTGCACCTCCACCTTTGCAAGGTATGCAATTGGGAGCTCCGCCATTGAAGATCATCCACCTAAAGAGCGTGCTGTTGGGGACGTCCTCTTCGGTCCAGGATGTCCCCAGCCTCCCGCTGCGACAGCACTCCTCCCTGCTCATCCCGGACATGTAGAGCACCTGGCACCTCCCGTTCTTCCCCTGCTGCAGCCAGCAGTTCCCGGCTAAAAAAAAAAACAGAAGAAAGAGAAACGCACGTCTGAAACCGCTGAGCCAGACGGGCTAGACACACACGCAGCCCGTTTTTATCAAAGCCCCCCCCTCTCGCGCTTTATTTTGTCATTTTTTTCCTGCGAGACAGTTAACACTTTCCTTTCCCATCTGTGACTGACAGCCATTACAATGCAACCACAAATATACAAAAAAGTGAGAATAATCTATGCCGGAGGGGGGGGGGGGGGGGGGGTCCTTTATTCCCAGAGCCTCCTTGTTATTGCCGTCTCCAACGCCTCCGAACAATATCCCAGACACGCATACGCGCCAGACGCCGCCTTCTCCCCAACGAGCCAAGGTACAGATCATTCAAATATTAGAATAACGCAGTATTTATCCCGTTTCTCGTGGTGCAAAAATGATCCTTCGATACAGACAACAGCAGGATGTCTGAGCAGAAACACACGCGCACACGTACACGCATGCCAGGACGCGTACACGAGTTGGTGCACTGCTTACATCGAGGAAAGATTAGATATATATTGAACCACAAGCTCCAGAACGAAATGATAGGCGCAAGAGTCTCCATTTGGTGTCCTAAAGATGTGAAGCTGCGCAACGCACGCAAACGCACGCCAGGTCGGGTGGATTTGTACGGGGGAGGGAAAAGGCTTCTAACGCCATCTAAAAACTCGTGTGGATGTTTCTAAAGTTTCTTTCGAGGGTTTGAAGACACGGTGCGGCTCTTAAAGTATCCCAAAAGGCTCAGGTGGGTAACACGCAGAGCTCGCGCCGCCACCAGCGCGGCGCGCCGCTTCCAAGTGTGTGCCGCGTAACTGGCCTGTAATCCCACTTCCAAGTGTCCCGTATGGCACCTGTTTTATGGGCGCTGTACGCGCGCACGCACCGTCGGATGCAGAGTTTTTTTCCTCAGCGGGTAGAGGGGACAGAATGATAAGGAAAGTCACTTTGAGAAGTTTCCCGGTTGCAGCAAGTATCCTCCGACACTCGGACGCGTTTTACGTCGGAAGTTTATCCTTCGTTTCTTAAACGTACAAATAAAATAAAAAAAAAACAGTTGAAGAGATCTTACCTTGCACTTTTTGATGTTCCATAAGGTGACAAAGCCATATGAACAAGAGTAAAAAACCCGGGTGAAGGTGGTGTTTCAGCATCCTGGACATGATGGAGAAGCGATGTGAGCTACGTATTTGAAACAGGCAGCGCAAAAAAGTAATCTGCTTAAGGTGGCAGTGTTGAATAAGTGTCAGTCTGAGAATGCAGCCTCTCTTTTTAAATCTATAAGGGGTCTCGGGTTGACCGTCTCTGGTGGGCGGTCTCCTCTTCTCATGGGGGTGGGGAGATTTTCTTTCCTCTGTTTTTTTCTTTGCCAAAGTTCTTTCAATCCCAATCAGGTGACATAGTTACGAGCAACTTTCTCGTTGCCACAATAATTGGAGGATATTGGCGGATATTAAAGGCTCTAATTTGTAGTAAACATGCGGCACGCGAATTACGCATCTTTTGCGGTGAAACAAAAGCGCAAACGCAGCAGGTCAGACACACTGTGTCTGTTGGTATGGGTTTGTGTTTCGGTGGGAAATACAATTATTAACGTTTTATTTCTCAATATGTAGGTTTTGGTTTTTCATCATCTATATATGAGTGCATCTCGTGCAGCATACGCCTTCAAAGCTGTAAAATACCAAACTCATGAATATGAATATTAATGACAATAATAGTAACAATAATCAAAATAATGTTATTCATTTAATAATAGTGCTGATGAAGGTCATTTTCACTCATATATCAGGGACTTTTTCACTGTATGATTACAGGCCGACAGCCAAGATATCCGGACATACCGTCAGTCCTTCAAATTAAAATGTTGGTAACTGATATTTCTTTTCCACCAACTGCAGACAAAAGTGTAAATCTTTTGCTAAGAGCTGCCTTCGGGGTACACATCCGCGGCCCAGACAATAATAGAATTCCCAACAGCCCCGCAGCTTCTCGGCTAATATTAGAACAGACAGTTGTTTGGGTTTCTCTCCCGGGTCAAGCTTTTAAATATAATCAAACCTGTTTCCGAAGAGGCTTCAGACGGACGAGCGGGGTGTTGCGTTTCATTGAATGAAACACGGCCACGCACGCGCGCGCGCGCACACACACACACCCTCACACGCGCACGCGTCCACTCACACGCCCCCCCCCACAAACTCACACTGGGCTCCGCTCACTGACGCACAGGCTGAACTCCGTCAGAAGTCCTCGCGCGACCTCTTCTGCGGAACTGTAGTCACAGCTCCGCAGAGCAACGCGTGAATGAGACACCGGGAAGAAGACACTGTAACCCCCCCAGCACAGCCCCCCCCCCCCCACGCCAAATACCATGTATCTGGTTGATCTACAAACTAGTAGAATATGCAGCTCTATTAACCCTCTTTTGACAGTCTCTTCATTTCTCTTGTTTGAGATGCATCCATCCACAATACAAACAATTATAATTCAAAATAATGTAAATGTCCTCTCTGGCTTCCTTCGATTATGTTGTTGCGAATCTTTGCACATTCCTGCTGACTACATATTTAACAGTCAATAAAATGATCTGTCAGAGGGGAACATATTCTCCTCATATTCCACTCAACCAAGCAGAGGGAATATTTGGAACATGAACACTACGAGTACCCGAAAGCTATATGAATACACCGGTCTCAGATTTACAGGATCTGAGTCTTTTTTAGAGTCGGAGCTTCCAGAAAACACGCGTGTTCATCAAAGAAAGAAAAGAAAAAGACCCCAGTGATAGTTAAAAAGAACACAATGAAACCCTTGAGGATCACATTCAAAGTCACGCTAAAAGGTCATTGAAATACATTATCAAATCATTTGCTAGGACATCTTTTTTTTTTTATTGCAACATTGCAGGAATGGGAGAGCAATCATCTCATTGTGCCACGGGTCAAGTTTGGTTGGCTGAATCTGACAATCATCTTCAGGGAAAATCCCAGAGATGAAAGGTCATTTCACCACCTGTATCACATTTCATCAACTACGGAATGAAGTCGAGCCCATGCAGGCTTTCCCAGATCTGAAATATGCTCCATATTAGACAAAGGCCATATTTCCATCGTGCATTGTGGAAAGACGCTGCTGGGTGCTGGAGGGGCCTGTTTTAAACAAGGGGGAATGAATTTGAAGTTTAAAGGGGAACTTGAACAGCACTTGTGTTTCCTGCATGGGAGGGGGGTCCGAGAACGGTTCTTCTCTGCAGGGATGAGGTTCCAGTGAGAAAGAGGGGGGGCAGGATAAACACAACCTCAAATGGGTCTTAAGTTTTTACTTGATATTACGGAGGGTTCGATCGTCACAGGTCATCTGTATATTGCTGCCACCTTGTGGCGAAGCTCCGCCAATACACTTACATACATACATTAGACACTACATTACATAAACGTTCGAGGAGCCGAGGCGCGTTAATAACCCTTTGCCCTGATAGTGATAAATCATTTTGAAGATGGAACAAAGTCTTCAATCAGCTTATTAACAGGAAATATTGTATCTTCAAAGATTGTGACAATTGTATTGGGTTTGATAAATTAAAAAAAAGCCTAAATATTTGCTTGTTCAAACTTTCTTTGTCTTACAAGGCAGAAATGTAGGTTTTTGTAATGTAAATTGCACGAAACAGCCAACATGTTTTGTTGAACTATTAACTAAGAAAATAATCTGCAGATAATAAAAACACAATATGCTACAGAAATATACATACCCACAGTGGTAAAACAACAACAAGATATCTCAATAAAAACAACAACACCAAGTAGCCACTCCAATGGCCTGAGGGCGTCTCATCTTTCCATAAGATAAAAGCCGACATAAACGCTAATCACTTTATCTTACAGTATGTACAGTACAAACAAGTGCGACAGGCCATCTACATTTTCCTAATTAGAAGCTGTTATGTCTCGACCATGTTGCCCCGTATGTTAACAAAGCCAATGGCAGTGTATAAATGAGATCCCTTTACAGTTTAAACCTCCACATCAACTTCGCCAAAGGCCCAAAAAAAGACTTGTGCATTCACATTTGGCAAAAATACACTCCTTACAAAGTCAGTGTCCACAAAGTTTAAAAAAGACAGACCAATATTAAAGATAAAAAAGATTGAATACCAGTTATCCACAAACTGAACCATTTCAGTAGAAAAAGGTCTCCAGTGATTGAGCGGCGGCCCAGTAGCACTCTGAGAGCCGGTGACGTGCTGCCAGTCTTCCTCGCTGGGGGGGTTGGCTCCTCGGATCACAGCACCTCGTCTACATGCGGGCGGCTCTGCGCGTCTCCATCCGCCTCCGTCTGGAGCTGCTGGTACTTTCTCTTGAAAAAGCCAAACTAGAGAGGAAAAGGATTCGAAAGCAGGTTTATTCGCTGTGCTCACCATGGAAGAGATCTACTAATGTTCCTCTGTGTGGTGTCACTGCTTACCTTCCACAGAAGCCCGACTGCCAGAGCCAACAGCAGCAGTCCAGCGATGACGCTGCCTGCTATCACTCCCACCGGAACGTCGCCTTTCACTCCGGGTTTACTGATGGTCACCACCACCTGGACAGCAAGAGGACAGGAGACACGGCGTGTGTCACCTCTGATCTGACACCAGACCACACACTCTTATTTCTTCCCCCTGTCCGTGCAAAGCGCCGAAGTCTTACCGGAAGCCGCTTGAGGCCAATGACCAGCAGGTCGGGGTTTGAGGTCTCGACGTCCACGTCGGAGGTCAGCTCGATGGTCTGGTAGGAGGCCTATCGGGACAGGAAGTGAGAGCATTATTGAAAGCACGGCGTGAATATCTGCAACCAGAGAAATGGAAATGAAAGCAGACAAAACAACTAGTAGTAAAAAACACAATGCGTTATTGAATACATTTACCGAAAGAAACGTGCCACTCCAGATCCTTGTTTTCACTTTCACAAAATAGTCACTTTTAATCTCCGTGTCCTTGAGGATGCATTTTATGTACTTGCATTTGGCACTCTTGCAGTTCTGTCGGTTAAAAAATAAACAAACAAAATGAACTCGGTAGTTAAAAATAAATGTCAGCAAAAGAACTCTGCATCTTGGTTATTACAAATAAATGAGAAAAGAATGTATATTTAACCATAGACATTAGTTTAAAAAATACAAGTTTACTTTATTTAGGAGGTATAAAAACACATAAAACATGAAGATAAATATTATTTCTCTATGCAGCAATCTAACTCAATCATTTCTTTTGTATTCATAAAAACTATAAAGCTCCGGAATTACGCATCAAATCGCAGATATAGAAGAATTTTATGACATGGCTTGTTTGCAAAATATGTTTTTATACGTCCTTGTGTGCACAGATCTAAAAAGTGTGCGTGTGTGTACAAAGAGCACAAAGGGACTGACCAGACTCTCCGTGCCTCTGAGGTTCTCCTCGGAGAAGGACGCTTCGTGGCTCTTCTCTCCGATCTTCAGAGGATCCACTAGGCCGCTGGAGTCGCAGGTGACCGCACCTCCCTGCAGGTGCAGAATTTATTCCATCAATAAATGACACAAACCCCCCATCACGCACTACATACCGGTTGCCCATGGGGGCATTTATGAATGTATTAAATCCCTTTCAAAAGTTGCTGGTTCTTGGTTTCTCACTGTTTGTGTGTCCACACTGGTGACATAGAGGAGCTGATTTCCACCTTTAGTGGTCACTGGCAGAGCGATGGTCAAGTACAGGAGGCTGACGGGGAAGTTACTCGTTGAAACCTTGAAATACAATTTATTATAATTCATACATTTTATAACAAACACAATTTCAATGAGGAATAGGCCTAAGACATTTTTTAGAAACCGGTTCATTCACAGCACCTTCACTGTGAAGTTAAACTCGGGGCCGATGTCATCAAGACTCTTCACCGTTGTCACCACGGGAACAATGGCATCCGCCACGTAGAAATTGATATTTGACTGCCTGCGACAAAGAGAGCACGACATTTGTGCGTTTCCTTTGTCAAACATCTGTTCCAGGGTGCAATGAAAATGAGACCAAACATTAAACAGAAAGCATAATCACCTTGATAGAACAACACCAGCATCGTATCGCACAGGAATGGATAAGTCCACCACGTTGTCTGCAGGCCTCTCCTCTTTACCATCACTGTAACGAAAAAAATAAAAAGGTACAGAGCATTTTTACATATCGACCATTTCCATAAGAGTTACAATCTTTTATTACATTTTGAACTATTTAAGTGTACCTCTCGGCCTCGAATTTCACCTCGGCTCGGTTGTCTAACTGGTCAAGATTGTAATCGAAATTCATCTGAAATTTCATCTGGAATAGAAAAAAAAGATTAAACACATATGTATCACCTCAAAAAATGTGTTCAAAATAGTGTATAGTTGCTTTTCTGGCTCTTACTTCCTGGTCTGTTTTCAGTGCTGGGTACCCCACTTGGCAGGTGACGGTTTGTGTTTGTGTTGAGGTGCATTTGACTTCGCCCGTCTATAGATCCAAATAATACATAAATATTACACAAACAACTTATTACAACGAGGCTTTTAATGTCATTCCAATAACTTCAGTGGCACAGAACAGTGCAAAACCTACACATAACCCTATTTTTGTAGTGAACTATGTAAGTAAACTATTTTAGTAATAGGTGAAAAACTGTTTCAATTAATGGGGGAAAGCTGTTCAAGAATCACACATTTATTTTGTGTAAGGTGCACCTTTTTACTCACAGGAGGAAATATGGAGGAGTAGAAGAGGTTCCCGGAGTAGGTCACTGTGACCCGAGTGTTGTAAGCATTCTCCTTTTTGTTCTTCACGACCACTTCAAAGGACAGCTCCTGGTTGTTGCCGCTGACCAGCACGGGAACTGAGCTGTTACACAAGAGCTGCCATTACTGCAAACAGTGAAAGGGATGGGATCCCCTATTCCACTAAATACACAGAGGAGAATGCATCTAAAAGTGAAGTCTCTGTTAGTCCTCCCTCTTCAAACTTTGAACGCTTCTTTTGACTGACCTGTGCACGTAATGGGCTATGAAGGTGCTGTGCAACTCTAATTTGTGCAGCTCTATTGGCATCTACTATATGTCTAGACGGACTCATGAAACTGAGAAAATGAAGCCAAGTTTGTGTAGTGGTTGTTGAGATTGATCCGGGCATAACATTACATAAGTATATTTCTTCACACAATTCTATCTTTTATATAATTGTGTGCACTCCCAGGGAAATTATTTTTGAAAAAACGGGTGTTTTAGGATGGTACTTTAATGTAAAGCCCGAGCAGTCGTTGCATTGGCTTCAATCGGCAGAACCAGAAGATGGCGCCCGGGGAAAAAAGGCAGGAAGGCTGGGCTTTTCAGTTGGATAGTGATTCAAAATTGTGTTCACCCCTGAAGGAAAATTGCTTATCATCACCTCACAAGTGACTCATAGTGAAGAAAGACAAAGCCTGGCCCGGGCAAGTTCCATCGCACACAAAATCAATTCTACCCTCCACTTACATCGCAACTTAAAGTTCTACGTAAAATATTGCACTGTGGAATGTCAGTGATTCTCACCTAGAAGCTTTCGTGTCCGTCTTCACACTCAGCACCAGATCACTGATACACACATTGTCAGAGCCGCAGTCTGTTGTGAAAGGCACCTGCAACAAAGCAGCAAATTGACATCAAATATGTGTAACGCTCCTGCTACTTCCCAAAGGCTGGTGAATGCAGTACTCAGAGGTTCCAAGAGATACGTACGTCCGGCTTTATCGTCACTACGCACATCATCAACACAAGCCTCAATGCGAGCTGCACAACAAGTTGTTCTGGATTATTCGACACACGCTTCAAAGCCTCAACACTGATTGACACATTGCTACAGGTGAGTACATCCATATATTCATCCTAACCCCAAGTTGTTGGTTGATGTCTCCTCTGTGTTTTGTTTTGTGCCATTCTGTTTTTTCTGCTTCTGGAGTAAAGTAGACAGCCGACTACATTACTTTCTTTGGCTCAACCACATGTCCCAGCCTCCCCCACTCACACTACAAACTTGTGTTCAAGATATTTAAGTATTAAGAAACTGAATATGATAGTACATTTCAAAAAGTTGTATAAATTCCTAATCTTGACCGTACTGTGTTCATTCCCACGCCCCCCCTGAACCCCACGTAACAGGAATCTGTCATTCATTCATTGCATTTAGTGAACTTTGATGTTGCTGCTGGAAAACACAAAGGGTGTTAATATAAGACGCTGCGTAACATCAGTGAATCACTTTAAAAGTTGTATAAAGCCAGTAATCATCACACTGTGTAATTTTGAATGACAACTTAACAACTACATTTAAAGTCTAAAGCCACCTGGTCTGTTTCCTGTACACTTTTTTGAAGTCCCAAAGGCTAAACAACAAAACCTATTAAACAGAGCTTTAGAGGCATTGTGTACTGTACAAGTCACTTACAAAGAACTCCCAGGCACTTGGAGCAGACGTATCAAGGACAGGGTTCACATCTGCATTCTGCTGCTCGATCTCTACTTTCAGACTGATGGAATTGACAAAGTCTGGCGCTTCCTGTTGAAGAAACCATGCATGGACTCATTTTCAAAATACTAGAACTATACAGTAATAGCTCCGCCAGCCTTATCCCATAAATGTGTCAATTAGCCATTACCTGAACATACACCTGGTAGTCTAGACACAAGGGCGTAGATAATATTTTAGCTTTTTCTGTGAGTAAACGTTCATTGTTTTTACTGAACAGTCCTCTTGAGGTAACACGTGATGCCTGCAGGTCAGCGTCCAGAGTCAACGTGTAGGATATATCTGAAAAGAGTGCAATAGTCTTGTCAATAATATTATCCAAATATTATCCCGTTTGACGTTTTGGGAAATATACGGATCTGCTTTCTTGACTTAGAGTAAGATTAGAAAATTGATACCTGGTTCTATCCGGAAGTAACAGATACATCTACCAGTAATTGCCAACTAGTCATTTTTGACAAGATGCTCGTTACTTGTTGTTACCTTGTTGGTGCTAGGCAAGATTTTATGCCTGCTTTCAGCCTTTGTGTTAAGCTAAGCTAACCAGCTTGTAGCCTCGCCTCACACTTACAATTTAGATCACCTTGACGCCGGGCCAGGCCGGCAACGTAAACACTGAAGCTCCTATTTCAACACAACAGGGAGCCACCTCATTCTCGGCTCGGCACACCATTACTTGTGCATCATCACAAAGCAAAGACTTGTTTGCTGCTACATTAAAGCTCCTGATTGAGCACTGTCAAGTAACAGGAATCCATTTAGTGTTCATTCGATTTACCGATTGGTCCAACAGGGTTCTTAGGCCTGAATACAGCACGGAAACAGAGGTTGGTGTTGAAACACGTGAGCTTCCGTCCCTTAATGTCACAGGGTTTGTTCAAAATGTTGATTTTATCAGGGTTGAAAGAAGCTTTAGCCGAGACGGACGCCACACCTCGGGACCTGAAATCCAAGTGCAGTTCTCAATGATCAACAACATTGCTGATTCTATACTATAACGCAACATTATTCGCCCAATTTATAATCTCTCACAGTTTGGTGGCCAAACTCACCAGAGCTGCACCACTTTGCCATAGGCGCCAATGGAGATGTCAGGGAGCGTATCGTCATTCAGGTCTGCGAAGCTATCTATGGACCTTCCAAAATACTGCAACTGAGGATCCAGTTTGGAGCCAAGGATTTTCTGGAACAGATTATATATTCATCTGGTGAGACAGAGTATTTAGTGGAAAATAAAAAAACGCCAAAAGAAAGAGCCTTCTCTGTCAGTCAGAGACCAATGTTTCTCCTTACCTGTGAGAACTGTTTGTTTAAAGCTTTGTTCTCTCCATTGTAGATGTAGATGACACCTTTCCCTTTGTCCTCCAGTGGAGCTCCAACCACAACGTCGTTGTAACCATCGAGGTCCAGGTCAGGAACAGCAGAGATAGCCATCCCAAAGCGTGCATCCTCAGTCGAGGGCGGACCACTGAGGAATCCTTGCTCGTTCAGTATACCCTTAAGATCATTAAGACGCAGAATATGACGTATATGGTGCTACGGTTCCTTTCACATGTCACCATCATGCTTGGCTGTTGCTGTCTGGTTTGTGAGCCTTAGGTGAGGGCGGGGCAGGTTTCCTGAGAGTCTGGGGCGGAGGCTGGATCACTCCTGCCATCACACCTGTTCTTCATCTACCCCCGTCAGAACACCCTTTATAAGGATCTGCAGGAGCTCCAATCTTTGCCAGATTATCTCACTTCCTGAGTGGCAATACGGCTCCCACTTAGCTCTTCAGAGAGAACCCCTTTTTCCTCAGTGTGACAGTTTGCCTTTGTCTCCTCCAGTCTTGCTCCAGTTGCCGGAATTCTCATCTAACGCAGTAAGGCCTACCGACATCACCATTGGATTTATCATTCCTCTTAACCGCCCTAACCGTCCTGTATTTAGTGCATCTCCTTTCCTGAGGTTCCTCCCTTACCCCGGAAGATCTACAACACCACTTCTACTCAAACATTGTTATCACTTCCACCTCTGCCCACAGTGTCTAGGCCCTGACATTAAAGGGGACGGCTAGTTGAGCTAGCTGTGACATCCCATTGAGAAAGCTGCAAATGCCCACGTGTACCCAACCAACTGACATGTTGCCCCTTTTTTTTACCTTGGTGACGGAGAAGAGGTAAACCCTGCCTTCCTCTCTTTTCTCATCGCTCATGTACATGGGGGCACCAACCAGCAGAAGATCCGTCACCGAGTCTCTGTCCACATCCAGGGGGCACAAGACGCTACCAAAGTATGACCCAATCTAGGACAACCAGTGGCATCTCATTAGTTTCTGCATGTACACAGTTGGCACCCAGGGGACAAAATGTGAATACCACATCCTTCTATTATCGGTACCTGTTTCCCTCGCTCTGAATCGATGATAGCAGTTTGATTCTTGCCGATCACAGTGTAGACGATAACTTGTCCCGAGTGGTTGGAGCGAGGTGCACCAGCCACAAAGTATTCCGTGGACCCGTCACTCAGTGTGGTGACCGAATAACCTGGAAATTACCGGAAATAACAATTTAACTAGCAAACATCAAAACCTTGGACAACTACTTAAACAGTGGCAAATGTAACTAAATACATTTGCTCAAATACTGTACTACTATGTATTCTGTTCTTTCTCCATCTACTTACCATACTTTGTTTGGGGACATATAATTACTAGTTACTTTGCAAATCAAGGCCTGTAAATGTACACCTGAATACAGCTGAAATGCTATTTCAAAAAAATTGTGTGCTACAGTATTTACTAAAGTATTTGATCACTTTATTTAATAACAATGCACTATTATTTATAACTACTTTACTAAAATAAGTGTATACTTTGCTCTGCAAGCTAAAACATTAAAATACTGCTCGTAGTTCAATGAATAATAAAAATTACCCACTGACAGCCTCCACTGAGTAATTGTGATACTTTCTGACATTTTCCAACTTATGTATTTCTGCCTACTTTTGCTTGGAATGCAGGACTTTTAATTGTAACATGTACTGCAATGGTAATGTATTATATATATGTGTGTGTGTACTGTGTACCACTGAACATTCCAAAAGAATACCCAGCACAGATGGTAATAACATTTTCCATAATTTTCTTCTCAGAAATATCTCAAGAACACCACAGAATTAAAGAGTGGAGTTTTTTGAGATCGGACCCCCCCTTTGAGAAAATGCCCCCTCACTCCCAATCCGACACGGTTCCGTGCCAAAAATTTTAAGAAACATGATCAAAACTTAAACGCAGAGGACATCAGTAAATGCCTACCCAGGAGTGAGCTGTGGTTCTTGTCTTGAAGTGTTCTCTCAAAGGCCGAGAAGGGGAGAACATCAGCTTTTGACCCCTTTTGATGGACAACAGTCCCGCTCCAGGCGTAGGCCCCCGGTGCACCCAGGATCGTCACACCCTTAAACGCACAGGTCAAAGACCAGTCAACATACAAACAACACTGTGGGTCACAGCATCCACATTTTTGCTTGGGGTGGTTTATTTTTCCTAGTATCAAAGGTCTTAAATGTATCAGACGGAATTACTCCACTGAGTTTGCCTCAGTAAAAACAAGCAGATAATGAAAAATACTGTGACAAAAGAACTTCTTCAGAGCTTCTAAATGTCAATGAAAAAAGCATTTCCTTAAGTTTTCGGTTAGGGTTAAATATTTATTTTAAAACACATCTTGGCTTCCTCTTTTCTTTTAGAGAGAATGTTGTGAAAAGGGGTTGTTGTTGCTATATTCTAATTTGGCCACATTAACGTAAATGAGGGTTACTTAAGTCTATTTAATCAGTATTATTGCAAAATGTAGCAAAAACCATCAGCACTCTTCTCTGCAATCATTTACACTCATGCCTTGGCCTCTGACAAGCGTTCACACTGGACTTCTTTTATCACCGTTCACGCTGCCACAAGCGACAAACCACCGTTACCTTTTCTGCTGCAGTAATTTTGCACTTTTAAGTCTTAACACAAACAAATAATTTGGAGGCTCTGTACCTCTGTGCTAGAGTAATGAGCGCTGAATCCGACCTGGGACATCTCCATCTCAAAGTTGTTGCCCCCTTTCCCAGTGCCTTGTGGGGGAAGAGAATCGTGTCAACACCAGACTTCAAAGAAAGTCGAAATTATGAGATAAGATATGCGCATGCGGAGGCTCCTTCGTTGTTTGGTAAATTGTCTTTCCAAACCCTCATGGCGACTTCTTGTCAAAAGCGACCAGCGACATTGGAGACGATTGGAGACTTTTGTGGTGTCTGACGTGAAAGCACGTATTGTTTGGCAGAGAGAGAACTCTCAGCTTTTCAATCGTCACTAATCACGAGCGAGAACTACGGAATACCACCCGGAATGTATTTTATCTCCCTATAAATTTGATTAATCTCGACTCGGAAATACCGAAGATAATTTAAAAAGCGGACCACTGGACGTCAGACGTCCCTGTCCCTCCCTGTTTGTTATGAGCCTGTAATGAGTTTGACCTTTTTATTATTGCTGACAATACGGCCGCCTTGATGCTTTGTACAACATTGAGTTTTTTCTTTTCTTTCGCTGTCATTTTATATTGACTCTTGAGCCTGGAAATAAACAAAACAAAATAAAATAATAAAATATAAAAAGCCGTTTGGCGGATCCAGAACAAGACATGATGCAAGTGCATGATGTGGATTTGCTGAAAAGGAAACCATATTTCATCTCCTTGGGAATCACCGGCTGCGAGACATTTGGATGAGTATCTTTGGAGGGAGCGTTTAGATGAGCATGCAGCGTAAAGTAGGATACGCATGCAGCGCCTGCAACACCGGGACAGGGGGCGTTTACATCATGCACCTTCTATGTTGAAGATGCGGCTTCCCAATGTTCCGGCGATGGTGGAGAGCGCCGCCTCCTCCGACACATTGAAGAAGTACTTCTCTTTGGGTACGCTGGCGATGGACTTGATTTCTTCGATCAGGTTGTCTGTGTTGATGTTGTTTCTGGTGTAATAACCCAGGAGCTATGGAGGAAAAAACAGGGTTGCAAAATGTAAAGACCTTGGCGCATCAACATCAAATCAGAAATGCATGCAAATCTTTTGACATAAAAATTATTTCTTGTATTTTACCGCAACCTGTAAATGTAATGTTGCTTTTGTACTGTCGTGCAATAAAACGCAGTATAGGGCTGTATTTTTTTTATTTATGAATATATACTTTGCTAGTAAGTGGCAGACCATCACTTACAGCGATACCGAAGCGGGTGATGCCTTGCTTTTCGCAGTCGGCGAGGACATTTTCTCTCAAAGCCACGTCGTGAGACTCCCCGTCGGTGACCACCACCATCACCTTGGCGGCGCCTGGTCGACCGCCGTTGCTTTCGCTGAAACCCGACAGACTGAAGACATAAAGAACATATGGCAGTTTTGAGTTACCGTTTGGGGATTTATAATTTAAGAAATCCTTGTTTGCCAACAAGAAGATTTTTTTTCAAATAAAATCCTAGAGCAGCATCAAAATGATTATTCGTCATGAACAGGTAATAGCAAGACGGATCAGACAGAAGGAAGGAGAAACACATAGGTAAACAAATAAACAGTTACGCGTTGACGGCAGTTTTAGTGCTGCACCAACCTGGCAAATTTGATGGCACGGAAGGTGTTGGTAGAAGTACCGTACACTTGTATGATTTTGGACGCAGCCGTCATTACCTCATCTTTGGTTTTATACTGATTGAGTTTGAGTTCGAACTTGGGATTAACTCCGTACTGGATGACGCTGACCTGGCGTGATAAAGCAGAGAGAAGTATAAAGACCACAAGATCACGGCCCGCATGACATCTGCTCGAGGAAACGTTACCTGCGTGTTTCTGGGCCCGATGTCGAGGGAAGGTATCAATTTCCGGAGGAACTCGTTTATTGGAGCCCAGGGGTAAATGCTGTTGGAGCCGTCCAGAACGATCACGATGTCCATCGGCCCTCCGCATGCTAGAGAGACACAGAAGGACACGTTTCAGCGGCGGGGAGGATAAAGACCATCTTCCATGAAGCATAGAAATACATTCTTATCTTTTTGCGTACCCCTGAATTAGGTACAAATATATCAGTTATCTGTTAATTGCCCTTTTTTCATTTGTTAAAATTACATTTGACAAGAATTGAGAGAACATAATGAAAGGCATTGATAAGCAATGTCATACCAAATCAAATCCAGCAGATAAGTAGCAACTTAAAATGAAAAGGATATTTAAATCTTGGCCATGTCTTTTGAACATGTGCAAGCATACTCTTAAGTATATGTGATGAATACATCATCTGATATTAACTGTCTTGAAAACATGTTCCAAACATCAACATATCCATCATCTTGTACACATATATTTTTTATATAGGTCAGATCTTACACTGGATAGCTGGAGAGAAGGCGGCTTGAGGTTGAAAGAGGCTGTTCATTTTGGCGCATATTCCTGGATAGAAGATCTGATCTCCACAGCGTTGTCCCCACAGAGGACCACACATCTGTAACACAGGGGAGGAGACTTTTAAAGGCCTCCCATCAAAGCCGATATCGCGGTAAATTGCCAAACAAAAAGACAAGAACTGGATTTGTAAGAAAAGAAGAGATCAAACGTGGTCTGAACACACGTACCATCAAACTATTGTCAGCAGGCATCCGGGTGAGAGTCAAACCCAGGCACATGTCGTCGTTGACGTTTTTAACATCGGGCATACTCACAGAATCTGTGAATGAGGTCGCAATCAATTAGTTCACACGTTAAAGTTGAGACAAAACAAGGAGAAGGCCAAATGCCTGGAGACCTCCTGGACTGCTCTGTTTAGGCCTTTCAAGTGAATGGTTTGGTAGGAGAGGTTAGAGGTCAAACAACGGAACACCAGTGCGTACCTTGGAGATTGAGTTTATCACAGCTGTTTCTGGAGCCTGAGACTTGACACTTGTAAACATCCCCCTTCCTGTTTTGACTGAAACCACTCCACGGGGCGCTGACCAGGAGCCTGGAAAAAAACACGACAGCCTTAATTTGTTTCCCGAGAGTCATTTCTGAAGGTTCCTGTGCGCACGGCACTCATCCATATCACACACACATGTCCAATATATATCTGCTGACACCTCACTGTAATAGACCAATTGTAGCACCAAGCGATGCAAAACTATCCTAAACATCACAGTCTCACATAGTAACAGTAAACGTGTTCTGCCATGTCATTCTGTTAATGTTTTAAGAAACAGCAAACAGGTTTCTACAAGTTCACACATATCAACTTCAAACACGTTATTCATCCACCAGTAAATCTGTGCACTACCTAATAAAGCCATAACAATGACCTAATACTTCTACACTCCTTCACGACGCTGTAGTCACTTCAGTCTGAGATCGCCATCAGACAGGCAGACTGTGACTCACAGAGCACAACATCCACACGTCACTGCGACGCTCGCTTACTGTTAATGTCGCAACTGTGCGGTGGCAAAATGTACGTGACTTCAAGCGCGGCGGGTTTGTGAGTAAGGATCACAAAGTGCTTTACGGGGCAAGACGCGAGAGAATACCCAAAGTAAAACAGTGTTTAAAAGCAGGAACAGGACAATTACATATGTTACAGCTACATATGTTACAGTCACATATGTAGGGGCCTGACCGTGGAGCGCTCTGTAAGTGAGGATGACAGTTCTGAAGTGTATCTAAAAAAGCCACACGGAGAGACCGCGGGATGCGAGACGGTTCGTCCATTTGAGTAATCTGGCTGCAGCGGTTTGAATGACCTGCAAACGGTTAAGAGCAGCAACACTACAAGTAATGAGAAAAGGGAATTACAGTAATCGATGCCTGACCAGATGACTGCCTGAAGGATCATCTCACATTCAGAAACTGATACCACAGATTTGATCCAGATAGCTGCTTAATATGGGGTCAAATGACATGGATCGATTAAAGAAAATCGGAGGAGTGGACCAATACTCTGCTTGATCATGGGGACAAACTCATGAAGTGATGACTAAAACCTCTGTCTCAGCGTTGTTCAGTTGTAAGCTGTTTTCTGCTGTCCAGTCGCTGATTGTATGGACACAGTCCAAGAGCCTAGTTACTGTGAAAACCTCACTGAGTTTTTGGAGGATTAGGATTTTGGACGTAAAAGGCAAGTTTGATATGGGCCGATAGTACAGGCTGTGCTATGCTTAAGGCAAGACGGGACAATTCTTGTAGATAAGGAGGAGTTAATAACTGATGTTACAGCTGGGGCAACAATTGTGTGTGACGCGTGCGCAGATTGTTGCATCTCAGACAAAATCAAGCAACTACATGTCTACAATTTTGCTGGGCGTGGAATCTTTCTTTTATGATTCAGCAGCGCAACAACTTATCAGTGCTGCTCGCAGTAAACTGATATCTAGTAGTGGTTGTGCTGTATCTAAAACAATCCTTTTATAAATCCCACAGCAGAACAACGGGCAGCAACAGAGTGGATAGTGCAAACTAACAAGTATAATATGTAGGTAATCAACGTGAGCACCAACCATTTCTAAAATATGACATAAAATGAAATGGTTCTTTGCGTTGCACAGATTATTTATATTAAGAGTAAATACGTAGGATTTATATTTCTCATGAATTAATAAATATAACTAATCAACTGCTATAAGTGATACATTCAATTTTCGCATAGTCTTGCAACAGAAAGGAGACGGAGGACTATGGGGAGACTTAGCATCTGTGTGAGGCTGTACTCAGAAACAGCCGTTGTATTTTTTTTGTCAAACAGTCTATGTATGTATACTGTCAACAGTTTATGTCAGCATGGACCGAGATGGATACCTGTGGCGGCTTGCATCCAAGGGTTGGCCCACTGAACGTGTATCAGAATCTCCATTGCTCAAAATTGCTTTAACACATCTCTGGGTGATATTCACACACCCTGCGGATGTCCTTATGTTCCCTGCTTCCATCGCTTGTTCCTCGAAGAAATATTGACTAAACTAATGATTAACTGGACCACAAGACAGGTGTTTGTGATGGGAATAGAAAAGGCGCGGTGGTCTCGAGAGAACCAATCACATCAATCGTTACCATTTGCCTTCGTGGTTTGACGCTTGTTTGATCGTGTAGCCAAACTCCTCATCAGCCGGCCCGCTGAAGATCTTGGAACCTGCAGTACCGACGTTGAAGGACAGCGAGGGAAGGATTCTTTGAGCTGGTGGAGGAGAAAGATGGGGGGAGGTGGGGACATGACAGTGGCACTGATCAACATCAACTATCAGCTTTGTGAACAAATGCACCTACAGAAAACACATAGAAATACATCTTTTTAGGCCTCTGTATCTAAAAGTTCAAAGTCAACTGTTATCAGGACTGGTTGTTTATGGGGGGGGTTCATGTTCTAAGTTACAGCAACATCCGCTACCCACTGACTTCCTCCTTTTGGGTGAAGTAAGTGCTATAAGTACCTGAATCATCTAGTTAAAAATATAAACACTAGACTGAACTTGACTCACGGAAGGCATGAAAGGCCAGGCAGTCTGTGACTGGCAGTCTGTGACTGGCAGTCTGTGTCAAGCTGCTTTTCTTTGGAGCTGTATTTCCCGTCTGAAGCCAAATGCATAATCCCAAGTGAACCAATTGAGTCAATATTTCTTTGTGGCTGTTGACTTTGATCTGGACTAAGTCTGTGCTCCCCAGCACTGGAACTATTGTATTGTTTCCCCATAAACAAAGTCCACATTCAAAATCACCCCCTCGGGTCATGTGTATGACTGAGTGAGTCCCACAAGCCCGGACAGGCAGCGCTCTCCTATCAGACCCCCCCCCCCCTGCACGCACGCGCGCGCGCGGGCACACACACACACACACACACACACACACACACACACACACACACACACACACACACCTCAATCGGCAGGTAGAGGAATGTGGAAGGGATCTGGACTGGGGAGACCGTCGCGTGCACGCCCAGGACCCTGCCCGGACCACCGCATGTCTGACTTCTCTCTCACTATGAACCGGCTACCCACGATGCACGTGGTTCGCTTGGGATTACGCGTCTGGCTTCACGTTGGGAAATACAGCTCCAAAGAAAAGCAGTTCATGCTGAGATGATCGCATTAAACCAAAATAAATAAAAGTGTAAAAGTACTTACTGATGACCATCACAGTGAAGACGGCGCGTCCCCAGCAGAGCTCCATCGCGGTCTTCTATGCCATTAAGTGTGAGGCGATTGAACGAAGCCGCACGCACTTGTCAGAGTCGTGGCCGCGCAGCGAGTCAGCGAGCGGTGACGCGCCGGACGCCTTCTCTAAATAAGGACACGCGCGCTGCGCTCTCACCTGACGCGATCCAAACTTTGACCCCGCAGGTGTGGCCGAAGGGTGTGAAGGGAAGTCTGTGACTGAAGTCGGGAAATATCCGGATGGGATCAGGCTGAAGAGCAGCCTCAGACAGACTAGTCTATAAGATGTGGAGGCATAAGAAGAAAAAAACATGTTCAAAACATGCAAATAGAAGAAATCGACATGAGAGGCGTCTCAGCTGAGCCCTTTAAATCATTTACTTATAGCTCCTCCTGTCATGTTGTTAGATCAAAGTCGATGTTCCATCAGAGGGACACTACATGAAGGCAGTGCGGGCGTTGAGAAGTCCTCTGGCTCCGGAGGATGTGACAAGTCTGACCTCGATGACATCATCGGAGCTGGATAACAGAAGCCTGTATTGTGTGCTGAGGGTGGGGAATTGTGAGAGATGGGGGGTCAAACGGAGAGATGCTTTTGGCCGCATTATGGGAAATGTGGGTTCTGTGCTTTTTGGGCATGAGGCGTTACAGAAAGAAAAGTTAGATTGGATTGCTCGGGCCTCAGCTGCAACACGTTTTTTTCTCTAATAAAACCGTCATTTGTTGCACTTATTTATTACACAGAAATCCTTTTTGCATTTGACAGAAATACCAAAGAAACATTTTCTTAAGTCTGATTGTGTGTTTGTTTTTTTCAGGATTTTGTTTCAGTGATTTTGTTACTCAGAAAACAAGACACAAGTTAAGTTATCTCACTTGATTTATTGTCTCACTGAACTTTGTGAACATGAGTTTGTGGTCTCAATCTTCAAGTCAGTCTTCAAGACACCCATACTCGGATGGTAGTGGGGATGAAAACATTACTCGGATGGTAGTGGGGATGAAAACATTACTCGGATGGTAGTGGGGATGAAAACATTACTCGGATGGTGGTGAGCAGATGAAAACATTACTCGGATGGTGGTGAGCAGATGAAAACATTACTCGGATGGTAGTGGGGATGAAAACATACTCATATTACATACATATTCAGTTCAATCAAGTCAACCGTCCTCTCCCCTCTCCCACACACACACACACACACACGCACACCCCACCCCCATTCCTCTGTTTGTGCAGACACGTTTGCGAGTCATTTGGTGAGGCGGAGCACCTTCCGAATTCAAAGTGAACAGTAACAAGCGTCTGTGGGGTGCGGTGACGCAGTTCGTTTCTGGGAAGAGGTCCATCTGCTGCTTTGTGTAGGTGCAACCCGCTTAAGCAAGCAAAGCAGTGATGCTGCTTTGACAACATTTCCTCTCCCTTTAAGAGATCGCTGCATTCCTCCATCTGCACACATTCCAAGTTCAGGCAGCTCACTCAGCTCAGATGAATTAACAACCTGGCCAAGTTCAGTGACCTCAATGAGCAGTAAGTCTCAAATACTTCCTTTGTCTTGGAAATGTATCTGTGGTTTAAAACCATACTACACAATACATCCAGAGACGCAGGTGGATACACACACACATACACACACACACACACACACACACACACACACACACAGGCTAATCCCTCCCTCACACCCATCTGCTGACCAGTGGGAATGGACGGCCCTGGCTTTCCCTGCTTTGTGAGCCAGACCAGTGGGCTCAGAGAGGGCTCACGAGTCAATGACTGCTGCCAGACACGGTGGTAACGTCACTTGGGGGACGCCACACCGTCCTGTCACATGACCATTCAACAGCCCCTCCCCCCCGGCCCCCATTGTTTGACTTCTATGTAGATCCTCAAGAGAAGCACAAAAATAGGAGCCTGATGATGCATCACGTCATGAGCAGGTTAGCAGGTCGGGACATTAGCAATGTGCTTCCTCCCCTTCCACCCACATGCACTGCATGCGCCAATCACTTCCGCTTTCCCGGATGCTGGGAAGAGAGGCTGCTGTGTAACACATACCCAGACCCAGAGCCAGACTTGTGGGATGAGTGTTGAATGAAAAGTGGTCTGCAGTGTAGTAACACAATTTACTCAACGCTTGTGTGTGCATGTTGAAAAGGATAGTGGTGTGAAACAGTGCGCTAAAAAAAGATAAAAAGATATCTCACATGTAAAATGACGGGACAAAGACACCAAAGTACTTTGGGTTTGACCCCCAGCGGGAGGTGGCCCGTGGATCTCAAATCCCTGTGACGGCCGTGAAGGAAGTAGATCCCAGATGAAGAGCTTGGTTCGTATCTCGGAGAGGAATGCAGTGTTAGTAGATGTAATCAAAACCTCAAAGCATTTTCCACATGAGAGTGTGCTTGGCGGGATTGGCAAACTTGCACTTAATAGTTAGAGAGAATAGCTGTGGTGCTTTCAAGCGTACGGCAACGACGTCGTGGTCGCGTCTGTTTACCCATCTTCCTTCCTTGAAGACATTGTTGAAGGCTTTAAAATAACACTTGATTAGTTTGCAACATGGCGACTTCTTGATTTGGAAAATGGGCTTATAGAAACTATGGGAGGGGAGGGTGGGGGGAGTTGAGAGACAAGCAGGCTGTATCCTGAATGGTTGCAGACCTGCATGACTGAAAACAAGATCAGCCTTTATTCATTTTGAAATATGACTAAAGGAAAAATAAACATTTACAAAACAGGCTCATTATGTATAATATTGTATTGCTTTTAGTACCATTATTTATTAATATACAATTATATACATGTGTGCAGTTCTCCCTTATTCTATTTCTTCTATCACGCCTTTTACAAAAATGACGGTTATTAATGTGAAAAAAGAGAAATTATTAATGCAGTTTATTGGCAGTGATTTATTTTTTCAATGAGGTCACTGAACCAGCAGGTGGTGGCAAAGGCTTAAACATAATGTGCAACCAATGCGGCCATGCATTCTGCACATTAAACATTGGTGCATTTGTTTTTTCTTTTTTACCCTTGTTTTGGTTGAATGATTTGTTGAAAAGCGCTAAAATGTCACTAAACACGCTTAACATTCCTTCACTTTATGTAGTCAAATGCAGGACGTTAACTAAAAAGGAAAAATAAAAAATAATGTAGTCACTAAAAAAGACTAAAGTAGTGTATCTGCATATTAATGAAAACTCGTCACAATTGTGCATTGTGCTGCTCAGCTGTCCCTGATGTTCAGACATCCTCCCTGGAGACATGCCACGTACCAGCCTGCTTCAAGGCCTCCACCATCATCCCTCTTCCCAAGAAGCCCAGGAGCACAGGACTCAATGACTACAGGCCTGTAGCCCTAACCTCTGTAGTCATGGTCTTTTGAACGGCCAGTCCTGTTCCACCTGAAGACCCTCCTGGACCCCCTGCAGTTCGCCTACAGAGCCAACAGGTCTGTAGGCGATTGTGTTAACGTGGCCGTCCACTACGTCCTCCAGTATCTGGACTCCCCAGGAACCTACACCACGATCCTGTTGGTGGACCTCAGCTCTGCTTTCAACACGATCATCCTGTCTCTGCTGCAGGAAAAACTCTCCCGACTCCACCTGCAAGTGGATCACAGACTTCCTGTCCGATAGAAAGCAGCATGTGAAGCTGGGGAAACATGTCTCAGCCTCTCGGACCATCAGCACCGGTTCCCCCCAAGGCTGCGTTCTTTCCCCTCTGCTCTTCTCCCTGTGAACCAACAGCTGCACCTCCAGTCACCAGTCCGTCAAGCTCCTGCAGTTTGCGGATGACACCACCCTCATTGGACTAATCTCTGGTGGGGACGAGTCCGCCTACAGGTGGGAGTCTGACCATCTGGTGTCGTGGTGCAGCCAGAACAACCTGGAGCTCAACGCTCTAAAGACAGTGGAGATGGTTGTGGATTTCCGGCGGAACAGAGCCCCACCCTCCCCCATCACGCTGTGTGACTCCCCCGTCACTATTGTGGACTCCTTCCGTTTCCTGGGCTCCATCATCACCCAGGACCTCAAGTGGGAGCTGAACATCAGCTCATCCACTCATCCAGTCATCCGCTCTGCAGAGAGGGTGATCGGCTGCAATCGGCCGTCCCTGCAGGACTTGTTCGCTTCCAGGACCCTGAAGCGATTGTAGCCGACCCCTCTCACCCCGGACAAAACCTGTTTGAAGGAAACCCTTCCATCTGGCAGGAGGATGAGGTCCATCAGGACCAAGACCTCCCGCCACACAAACAGCTTCTTCCCGTCGGCTCTCGGGCTCATCAACAGAGCCCAGGTTCCCTGACTGACACAAAAAAAATGTAATAAACCTGGACCTCGACTTCAGTCTCCTTCAGCCTTCAATGCTCAAAGTAAAATACAATCAGACATTATAAAGAATTTATTGCAGGCACACAATACCATAAATAATATTTACAACTTATAAAATATTCCTTTGTTTGAGCTTCATGGATCGCTGGGCAACAGTCTTCCATAACATCTCAATGACTGAGGGTTCTCTCTCAATTACAGAAAAAAGGCTTTTTTATTTTTTATGTTGACTTTAGCCCCATAAACGAAGGTGTCTGTTTCTGACCGCCTCAATAAACTGCAGCTAGATGAACAGGTGAATAGCTTTGAATATTGTGTTGAATAATGGCAATCACCAGTCGAGATGATGACGTGCTTCATGAATGGAAGAAGGAAACCGCATTTTATATGAAGATGGTACCTTGAGTTTTCTCGCCGGTACTAATGCATTAATAGCATATTAATGCATGGAGCATTAATTAGTATTTCACATATTGTACACTCGCCGGAGGAATCTGCCTTTCAGAAAAGATCTGAAAAAATAAACACAGCACGCCATTTCCCTCTTGGCATTTAGTTTAAGCAAAATACGTTTCTGAAATAATTAAAAACAAACAACTTTAATGTCAAATGTTAAAAGAAAAATACCGGATTTTTTTTTTCTTCTTCTTTTTTTTTTTTTTTTTAAGAACAAACCAACTGTCGATTATTCCCACTCTCTAAATCGACTCCAACTGCGGAAACTGTTGGATGTGCAACTATGAACATTTTTTGTTCAAAATGCTTGTTTGCAATAAAACCAAGTTTGAACCTATCGGATGCTAGTTAAATTTTGTAACTTTACAGCAAGTAGAGGGCACGCCAGTCCTTTCTCGCATTCTCACTCCTCGCCTCATTGCTGCCGCTTCCGCTCTGTCTCCAAACAAAAAGTTTCAAAGGCTGCTTCGATCTCGGGCTCCATCTCGTCTTCGGAGTCGTATCTGTGAACAAAACAGAGTGATTTGTTAGACCTTTAAGACGAATGGCTCGGGTGTAAGTAGTTGACAATCTCACAGGTGTGAGAGACAGAAAGCAGAGCCCTCTTTTACACCCAACTGCTGCCTAAACCGAATTGGAGGCGAGGGCTGGCACCGCTGCATTGTGAGCCGCTCAAACGCATTCAGCAAGCGCAGGAGCCCATAGGTGAAGTTGTTATGCAGTCACATGAGCAGGGATGCACCAGCATGGGGCTGCAGGTTCAATTTTTACAGGTTTTGGGTCCAATATAAACCATACTGTGGTGCAGGGTGACCCACAGAATTACGGCAGCATCAGATTATAACACCCTTAAAGTGCAACATGAGCAAATAATGCTTAACAAGCATCCAGGTTTTACGATTTGAACATTTCTGGCCCGTCAGCCCAAATAAATTACATAATATTAAAAAAAACGTAAAGCAAAAATCAAACTGTGTCAGTAATGTCCTCAGCGTAAAATGATTGAATGTGAATAAACTATCACAACGATCTCACTCGGATTATAGTTTCAGATGTATACAATGGCAACAAGCATCAACAAGCGCCTGTGAGCTCGGAACCAGCCTAGATGACCCATGTCTGTTGTGTCTCCCCAGTTATATGTACTTACATTTCACTTTCATTTCCATTTTCTCCATCAAGATCGTTGAAATATTCCTGCCGGTCCAGGATCTCTTGATATTTCTCAGCGTAATCTGTAAAAAGCAGAGAGTTTGACAACACAGTGACTTTTCTTTCGTCATTCAAAAGGAAAGAAATGCCGTTTCTACAGCATGAATTCAAATTCTGAGAAGGGTCAAGCAAAGATGCAAATTTATAGCAATTATTCTAAAATGATATATGGGATATTCTATAAAAGTTCTACTTAGAGAGAATTTCCTGATGCAAAATGGTCGGAATCACAACTATGTCTACTTGGATTTAAGCCAATCACTATTGAAGTAGCTTACAGTTGTATTAACGTCTGTATGAAGTCAACAGCTGATTGTAGAAGATTACATTTAATAAAAAAAAGAAAGAAAGAACCAGTTTCTCTATTTTGTATTAAAATAAGGGTTTAATGTAAGGATAAATTTAATACAAAAGCTTTTGAAAAAGGGATATCTTAAGATGTTAGAAAGAAGCGTTAAATTCAGATGTGAAGTGATGTCAGCCAAAAAAGCCCCCGTCTTATTTTCTTCTCATCATTCTCATCTAATCAAGTGTCAAAAGTATTCACATTCATTACTCAAGCAGTATAGATACATTATAGTATAGATACTATGGTTCTGTAGAGATATATAAGTATAGATATAAGTATAAACGTACTGGTTTAAAAACTACTTAAAGTATAAAAGTATTGTAAGGGGGAAAAAATTCCATTACGGACAAACTCTTAATGTGTGACCTCGCTCCGTTTCAATATTATCGGACGTGACCTGCCGCAGATGATGGAAACATTTAGAGAGGCAACGCTAAAACAATAGAGGGACAGATGTATCGACCCGCATGCTACATAATAAACAAATAAATGACACGAGTCGGAGGACGTACACACACACACACACACACACACACAGTTCCCATTGATTAGGTAGACTGCAGTGTCTCCCCCAGGTTTACTAGGGGGGCGCACACCCGTTATAATGGTGGGAAACACTGAACTGGCAGCGGTCGGTTATCAAAACATTGGCCAAATAACACGTTTTTTCAGGCTTTATGAGCAAATACAGAATCCCTTTGTGTTCATTTTTAAAGCCTCGCATTAAAGCCTAGTTAATGCTTCTGCGTTTTCAGAGCGACCCCCTTGCGTGTCCCTTGCGTGCCTTTTCACACCTCCTTGCGTCCTTGCGTGTGTCGACCCATTTTTCTAGGCCTTTTCTAGCATGCGCCAGCCTTAAGACACACAACTTTATTTAATACGCTGGGCTATTTGCAAGTCGCTTTGTTGTGCCAGATCCTCAATAAAGTTAGAAAAAAAATGACGGCAAACCATGAAGATACTCAGGAGGAGGGTCCATGTCGCTAAATACCCAACTAAGATTGGCCTATGCCGTTCTGAAGATACGGTATACGATACCCCAAATGTCTACTTAAGTAAGGCACAAAGTATTTGTACTTCGTTACTGGACACCTCGGCATCTAATAAGAGAAAACGTGCATGCCGCGTCTTCTTCTCGGATGCGAGCAGGTACGACCGCTCAAAGGTTTGTGCTATGTCTCGTAGTGACGCTCCGCTCCCCCTCACCATATATAATAACCACCACGGCCTCCCTTGAACACATAAGATTCCAGAACTAAGAAAAGGGATCATATTACTCCTGTATTAGCTTCTCTGCATTGGCTCCCTGTTAAATCAAGAATAGAATTAGAAGACTTTTTCCTGTGCCGACGTGAGGGTTTCGGGACAGAGGATGTTGCATGTGTACAGACTGTAAAGCCCTCTGAGGCAAATTTGTAACTTGTGATTTTGGGCTATACAAAATGAATTGAAAAGAAAAGTCAAACTGGGTTGGAACTTCCCGTGGGGAGAAGGAACGTTGGCTGGAGGCTTTGGTCTCGCTGACCACGTTTCTATTTTTGGAGAACGCCATGTGAAACAACTCCTTTGACCCTCATGATATTCTCCAACACCTCGGCCCTTCTCGCCTGTGTGTTGTCAGGCTACACATATTTGATTGGCTGAGGTACATGAGGTGCACGTGATTGATAACGCATACAATTTAGGGAATCCTAATTCTCGTAAATTTCAAAATTATTTATTTGAGAAAAACATTCTCTTTTACATGAATTCAAAATTCTCCCTGCATACTGCTTCATATTGCAGTATCCATTTATAATGTCTGCAACAATCATAAATTGTCCATTTGTATAAACAAATCTATTCATTTTTTAATTTAACATCAAGGTAAACAACTTCCATTTATAAAACTAGATTCATTCTTTACGGAAAAGGCCAAATTCCAAATAGTTACTTGTAAAAACACAGCTGCATATAATAAGTAGGGCTGAGATGGTAGATAAGAGAGCTTTTTGCATTGGAAGTAAAACTAACGAAGGCGCAACATACTTTAGGCTTTCTTCTAAAGCCTTAGAAAAACAAACTTTTTATTGCGATTAATCTAGATTAATTAATGTAAAAGGACAGATTAATTAGTTAACTCATTTTGTTCTATTGACAGTCCTAACAATAAGATGTCGCAGGAAGAAGAATTGTTGATTTCAGACATTATATTTTGGTGGTATGTCCAGTTCACATGTACATTTATCCCCGGAGTTTCCCCGGTTGATAGCCCGGACCCAGCCACCTCGACTCACCTGGGTCTGCAGCTGTGAAAGGAGTCCCATCTTCTGTGTAGAATGTAGGTTCATTCTGAGAGGATCAAAAACAAATTCCGTGGAAAACAAATGTAGGCAAAAAAAACCAGTGGCTATAGAGTTGAATTACAATGTTGTGGACACTCACCATGAAGTAGTTGGGGTCGTTGTCTGGCGTGGCGTTGCTGGCCGCTGCGGCAGCGCGGACTCTGCCCCAGTCGCTCGATCTCAACTCCACCAGTTTCAGTAGCATCTGTCTGACATCCCTAAAGACAAAAAGCACCCGCGTCAAGGAGTTTCCCCCCCAGTTTGCTCTTCTGCCTCAGCCAGTTTATGGCAGACTTTTGAATGATGATACACTTTCCATGTTTGTTAAAAGGCTAAAACCTTATGCTACACAGTAGTGATGTCCTGATACCAAAATTATGACTTTGATATAATACCTGCCATAAATATCGTGAGACCTGATACTTACGATACTAGTATATTATTCTTTGAGTATTAGATAAACATCTGTATGGTTCCCTTTTTTACCAGCTTGTTCCTGCTTTTTTAACACACCTCTCTACCGTTTCAGTATTGATTTAACGCGCAACATTACTACACATTGGATTCATCGGTCAGGTGCAACAACAGTTTTATTTCTGTTCTTGCAAAGGCTTTTGATGTACGATTGTCTTCGACACTGGAGACATTTCCGGCGTCCTGGAGCGTTTCAAACCTCTTATCTAAAAGTTACCTTTGGCATAAGCCCTAAATAGCAGTTGCAGACAAAAGAGCATATTGGTATACAGACCGGCTGCAGGTGGCATCCAGTAGAATAGTTTCTATTCTTTGGATCAGTTCTTCCATGTGCGGTTTCCCCCTCTCTTTCCAGGCATCATCCAGGATGGAGCCCGTTAGCTGCAAATTGAAACGGTGAAATCTTGATTACCCGTCTGAAAAGTAAGAGCTGCCCACACGTCTGTAAAATACTCTGAGATCGGAAACCTTGAGCAGTTTGACGGCACAGATGAGATTTGCATCCACAGGCTTGGAGAACAGACTGCTCATCAGGTCTTTCAGAGCATCAAGGAGGATATCTGCTCTGTTTGGAGGTCCTTTTGAGCTCTTTACCTAAAAAAAAACAAATAAATATGGACAAATGAAGTGCAGCACCAAAATTCAAGGAGGCATACCAACTACAAACGTGTGACACGGTGAGTGCCACAACCACAAATAAAGTGGATATAGTTTGGCTGTTTTGATGGGGAGGGGGGCCAGCTCTATAAACACAAAAGTCTGTCCCTGACTAACTGAGGGATGAGAATTTGGAGTGATGACGTTTTCCTGGTTGCCATTGCTATTTCAAAATGAATTTACTCCGGAGGCTTACAGCGAGTGTCTCCCTCCATGCCACTAGGGCAGCATGTAGCCCCCCAACAACGGAAGTCAACAAATTTATTCCATAAATACAACCGTAGGAAGGACATAATGCAACATCTTACCTCCAGGTTAAGATAGAGCTCCCCTAGAAAGAGCACGAAGGAGTGGAATTTCTTCTGGGTCTCGGCATCTCCTCTAACTGCTGCATCCCTCTGTATAAATTCGGTTTGACATCTGCAGCAGACAACAGTTTCCTCCTTACTAATGTAAAACATATTTCTACCACTACTGCATGTGTGATACCAGCATTTTGTACTGCTGTTAGCTTTTTCGAACAGCCCAAAATATGTAGTTCACAAAAGGCAGAGGGGATCCATGGTCCTACCCCTAAACCAGAAAGAAATATATATCACCTTTTGAGTAGGAGCTGACGAAAGTTACCGCTTCGGGGACTGACAAGGAGATGATGGGACAGGTAGTTACACAGCCTCGCCCCAGTGTAAGCAAAGTTGGGAATGGCAGTAGACTGCAATGAAAAGTGGTGTTTCATCAGCAGCAGGCATCTTTATATTTAACACAGGTCATGTTTAATATGGTACTATTTTATATACCTGTGTGTAGATCAGTTCCACCAGCTCGTTCAACAGTTCTTCGGTGGTAACCCAGGAGTTGAGCATGGCAGTAATGGCCTCCACATCCGACTCAAAGGACCCGGGTGAGGAGCTCAGGTGGCCAAGGAAGTCTGCCACTGTTTCAGCCAAAGTTTGCTCATCGTAATAGCCTTCGTTGTCATCATAAAACGAGGGGTCCTATAAACATTTTTATTTGAAATCAAAAAAAATACACAATCAATTGCATTTTTGAAGGAAATTGGTGGACGGCTACAGTCCCCCTTAAAGGAGTGACACCAAGATCGAAAAGTAGCAGGTTCCCTTTTCGGCATATACCGATCTCACAACGGCATTTTGCGGCATGGACCCTTCTCCTCATCTAAATGCAAATCTCGTAAATGGTTTTAAACTTGATTGAGAAATGATCAGAACACAGCAACTTCAAAGTAGCACAGCGTCTTAAATAGTGATTTATCTCTTATCACGGCAATTTCCTCCTTTGCCTAAATGAAAAGGTGTGAGAAATTAAGATAAAGGGATTCTGTATTTGCTCATTGTTTGCTCGCAGCTTGAAACTGGTCATTTGGCCAATGTTTTAATAACCTACCGCAGCCGATCTCACTAATCTATGGGACGTATTTAGGTACTCCACTGGAAAACCGGTTCTCAATTTATTTATTTTCAGCATGCACGGTCACCACATACGTTCAGCTGTTGCTCGGGGTTACAATGCCACTCTGAATCAGAGCATCCGATCAACATAGATGTTTCATAGCAGTGGATTTTCCCTCTTGGTCTCAGGAAAACGTGTGTTTTAAATACGATCAAAACCACTACGTTTTCCAACTTGGCTCAAGTCTTCAGTGGCAAAACCCATAGTTAGATACTTGTTTACACAGGATTTGCGTATCCATGCTGTACTGGGCATTCTAAAAAAGGAACCTGCCACCTGTCAATGTCGGCGCCACTGCCGAAACCAACATTGGGAGTGAAGAGAACCATAACAATATGATATTGCTAAAAAAAGTTTCTACTACTTCTACCCACCTCATACGCGTTGACTGCAGAGGGGACAAACTCTGGGGCGCTGGCTGACAGATTCGATGACTTGACCACAGAGTCCACTTGGTTAAAACCTCTCGAGGCAGACGTGGTGTTGGCATTGATACTTTGTTGGGGTTTGCTCTGTCTTTTAAAATCTGATCAAAGAACAAATGAACAAGAAAGGCATTGTCAGTCTCTGTTGCCTTTTAAGAGAACACTGCTGTGAAATCAAATACCTGCAGTGCTTATAAAGTACAGTTTAGTAGAACAAACCAAGTTACGTTGGGGTGGTGATGTAGTCAGTTGGTTTTTATTCTCCAGAGGGAAATGCATACATTACAATGCATTTCCCACCAATATTTGTTGGTACTAGAAGCATGTTGTTTCTGACCGCTCTGTATAATCACGTGGTTTTGGCCATGACTGACTATTCAGAGACAATGTCCTCTAGTGAAAGACCACAAAAGGCCCTCAAATTGAGGAAGAAAACAGACTCGTTTTCATAAAGCGCACCATTCATATGCATAGAATACTTTAAAACGTCTACTTACGCAGTGAACCGTCTCACTTTACTTCAATAATTTAGTTATTGTCTAAAGTTATTTAGTCTTCTTTGCTGTGAGTTAGCTGCCGTTAGGTTATCTAAAGACAACGTTGAGTTAATGTTAACGGTTAACTCTCTAAAGTTGTAGTTGCGTAACACAGCTTTAAGTGACGCACGTAACTAGCCATGTGACACCTGAGCGGGACCTTTTTTTTTTAATAGAAGCTGCGTTACCTCACGTGAAATAACAATCCCAACAGGTGCAGCCCGCGACGCCAAAACACTGAGGCTAGCTAACAGCAATGCTACTTAGCAGCTAATCACGCCGCAGATCCATAAACGAGTAGCTGATAGTTCGCTTATTACAGACTCTTCTCGGTCGGACGGTCTTCTTCTTCTCTATTCAAGTCAGCCAAATTCCGTTTGTCCCGTAACTTGTCATCTATTGTGGAATGAAATCGAGCCCGGAAGCGACGTTAGCTAACGTTAGAGAACTAACGTTAAGTTAACCGTAGCTGTTAGCTCAGTTGTTAGCTAGCAGAGAGCTCCCTACCTCCAGCAACCATGACGTCGGCCGCGCCAAGGTTGTTCTCGGCAAAAGGTGGCAAGGTGCGCGGCTGCCTCAGCGGTTCCCTTTGGTTGAAGAGTGTAGCTTTGGGGTCACCGCTGTCCCCGACGTTACCAGCGAGCCCTGGGTCCGCAACGAAATTTCGGCTTCTGCCCGCCCCTGGAGCTCGGTCAAAACTCTCGTCCATGGCTGCTCGCCTAATTCTCAAAGCAGCATCAGAGTACACAGGCGGAGAAATGAGCTTCACTGGTTTTTGTTTTGCGCAGCAGCCGTTGCTTGTGTTTTATTACACCAAAACACGCCTTATCTCTCTTTCATGATCGGCTTTTTCCCCAAACAGGCGACCGACACCAGTGTACACACAACTTATTTTTGGCCACTTCCTTCAACAACAAACTCGTTGTAGCTGGTTATCCATGGCAGTGTTTGATATTAGAATATAAGTGTCTCCCCCTGGTGGCGAGGGGTGGAAATGCAGCCATCGACGCTGCGCTGTGCCGAGAGGAAATAGGTGACAAATTGTATATATAACATTATACGTCACAATCCTGCATTTATAATTTTCTACACGAGTACAAAAACTATATATTCTTCTTTTATCGACGAGGGTCTTTTAATTTATTTTCCACCCAGATCAAGGCTTTCATTTAGAGGAATAAGTGTCCAATGTGCTTTTTTAAATTTTAGTATTATTATCTATTACTTTTTATGAATATATATAATACATATAAAAATATAACCCTCACCACCCTAATAATTTTCTTACTATCCCTAAGAGTACAGAAATATTACTAGAAAGATTCAAGTTATAGCACTCTTATATTCACTCATCATATATTGTATGTGTGTGAATAAGCAGTTAACTGGTTTAGGTGCTCGAATTAGTTTATATAAGTTTATTTCAAAATGCAGTATGACAATTACAATATGTCATCATTTCAAAACAGCAGCCCCCTTAAAAAGAAATTAAATCTAATCTGATCCCATTATATTTATTTATTCACTTATTCAAGTGCAGTTCAAGTTTTTTTCAGTTTCTTATCTCACACTGATGGCAATTCTGGATAGAGAAACATTAAACTTTTGATTTCTATTTTTGCATCGATTTAGCTTTTAAACAATTATCTGTTGTTTGCCTTGGTGTGAAAGTTCTGCTTAAGGTGTGAACATTTTGCAGAATAAATAAATAAAGGTAACAAGTGTTTGCAATCTTAGCTCATGTGTTCAAAGCCCTCACACCGATCTAAAATATGGAAGGACATATTTAAGATTGTGGACCTGTGAAACCTCTTCTCTCTCGGTAGCTGCCCACTACCAACATGTGTTGCACCAGACCTCTAGTCTAAGTCTAAGTCTTCATTACTTATTTCAGCCTGCAGTCCTTTTCCACTTGTTTCCCAAAGCTGGCTCACATTATGCCACAGAGAATTCCTTTTACTAGAAATGCACAGACTCTCTCTGGTAGACTGATTCCTGGCCCTGTTCCATAATATTACTTGAGAAACGCTAGTGAAACTGTATTCCACATGTTGCTTGCTGACCCTGACGGGGGATGCACGTGGCATTCCTCCACATCAACCATTGGTCGGGGGGATTCCTCGAGCAGCCGTTAAAGGACAACCCCATGGCACGGGGCCCATGCTGTCTGGACGCTTTATTGTTTCCCATCTGGAGTCACTGGATGACAGTTTGGGATGATTCAAAGCGCCTCCCCACCACCCCAGCTTCCCGTCGGCTCTCCCCGACTTGTTCCACGCCCACTCGCCTTGTGACGCGTCGTCCGGAGAGGCGGGGCTTGAGCGGAACAAGAGGCCCGGAATGAAGCCTGTGGTGTTAATGTTCTCCATGCGTCTCTTTTGATCCCACATAGGCAGCTGTCATTGATTAGTGTGTTTGCAGATGATTACTGAAGGAAGTGGGTGGTCAGACACAGGTTGTATCTGTCACTCACATTTTATGCCACCACCCACACAAACGCTCCGATGCCTCCCTTTATAAGCCCCCTGCAGAACCATATTGAGCAGTAGTGATGCACACACACGTTGTGCTATCAGCATCGTTGCTGCTGCTGCAGCTCTGCAGTTATCCGCTGGTATTAGGAAATTCTGTCAGCATCCTAGGCCACATCCAGGAAGCTGCCCCCAGGAACTAATGCTTAGTGCAATGGTTGCCACATGGAAGATCTGGCTAGCTGCCTTTTGGTCCAGTCTCGTTGCAGAGATAAGACTCACCGTGACCTGAATGCTCGCCAGCGTCTCTCACTACCCGTGAGAAAGCACTCCGCTCCAGCGAAGGCACTTTTCTGTTGTCCTGAGGAAGTGAGACGGCTTCGCCGCAGAGGAGAAAACTGTATTTTATTTCCACGTGATAGAGTTCCTATAAAAAGTAGCGAATGCAAAGGAATGCCTGCCTTGTAAGTGTTCCCCGCCAGTTAAATACTTCACAAAATAAATAAATCGTTACAATACAGCCAAAACGCAGTGGTTAAATGTGTCGCCCGCGCTATTGTTTCATGCTGTGGTGACGGACGGACCGATCGTTTCAACCATCCCGTCAGGTTCCCTTTCTCTGCTGCAGATTGTCTCACAGGAGAATAACGACTACCCTCTGCGTCGTCCACATTACAGACTTATAGTCCAGTTGCAAACAGTTTGGCACAGAAAGAAAAAAAGGATAAATATTGCATCTCCGTGCCAAAGAAAACACAGATGTCATCATCTCCCACCAAAATAAAGTCTCAACCAGCAGCAGAGCTGTATATACATACATATATATATATATGTTGTTTTCACGTAACAGTGTTTTTACGTAACAGTGTTAGTGCCTCGTTTCCAAATGAGAGATTTCTCAGCAAATGTCCTTTTTATTTTACAGCTTTTTTTCTTCTTCCACTTTCGAAAAGTCTCTGTCCAGTGCTGAATGTCCTCCTCTCCCCCCTCCTCCTCCTCCTCCTCCTCCTCCTCCTCCTCTAGTCAGTCCTCAAAGTTTCACGGCATAGGCGGGAGGAAGTGGGTGGCCATGTTCTTCCTGCGCGTCCTCTTCCCCCTCAGCGGCTTCCCGTGGACGTTCAGGCCCACGAACATCTGCCTCTTCTTGTTCCTCCACTCGGCCGACGCGTACGTGTTGTAGCCGTTCTCCTCAATGCGCTCCTTCAGGGTGCAGTCGACGCCGAACTCCCTCTGCAACGAGAAGATGTTTAGAGTGAGGCCAAGCACGGGTGGGGTTTGATGGCGCTGCTCATGGTATAGCGTGCTCACGCCCCAAACCTTCATCTAGATTGCATGCTCGCAGTGAGCCGGCAGACACAGAAGATAAGGCCTCCTTTTGATAAGGACAGGAGAGTCCAACACTACATCCATCTCTCTCTGTCTGGTGCATCACCATTGACCCCTTGACCCCGGATACTCACCGCTCCGTACAGCTCTCCTCTTCTGCTGATAGCCAGATAGTAGTTACTGTTCAGCCCTTTGATGGCCACCACTCCGACCTCCACCGATGTGATTTCCAGAATACCTGAGGGATCCAGAAGAAAGACAGTTCACGTCGATGCACCTGAGCTGTCATTTTGCACACGTCCTTCAAAGTGTTTTTTACAGTACATGCTGTATTGCATGCCCACGTGGGCACACGTGGTTATGGGAACTCTGCGTATTGTTCCTGGATACTGTAAAGCTACTTTACAGCTTACACCTGTGGAACGAATCCCAGCTGTGCAGGTTGTTTAGGAATAAGTGGACAACGATCCTCTATGGTTGTTTATGCCCCCTTTGGGATTGAATGCCTACGAGAGCGATCTGGGCTCCTCACACAGACACACAGACACACACACACACACACACACACACACACACACACACACACACACACACACACACACACACTCAGGCTGTTCGAAGGGCTAATTTATACCCCTGTTAACAAGGGCATTCCTGTGCCTCAGACAGCTGTGTTTATTTGTCCCGGTATCAGAGGTCGGAGAGATATAACTTCCTAATGTGTCCTTTGACCACAGAACCCGCTCGTCTCGTCCTATGTGTGTGTGTGTGTGTGTGTGTGTGTGTGTGATAGAGTGTGTGTAGATGTGTGATGTGTGTGAGTTAACCTCCCCTGTTCCCATGGCATGTTTGATTTCATACCCCCTCCCTCCCCGACTTCCTCTCCCCCACTTCCTGTGAGCTGTCGTTATTTCATCCCGATAAGCACATATGTGCACACAGACGCACACATTCAGACACACCCTTCAGCGTGGGGGTGTGAAGTTTTTGAAAGAGAGTTGTCAACATCCTTTGATCAGATGAGCCCCCCCTCCCCTCTGTCTGATGATTGTTTGTGTGGCGGGTCGCTCTGCTGTCAGAGCAGCTCTCCAGTGGCTCCGGGGGCGGGACGGGGGGGTTCTGAGGCCGCATAGCCTGGGCCGTGAGCGGACACGGTGGCCGTGCAGGTGTGCTCCAGGTTGAAGAACACCCCCCACATCCCCCCCCCCCCTCTCTTAAAGACACAGCACCTTCCTCTCCTGGCTCGAGCGTATCGTTTTTCCAGTTCAAAAGGTGGCACCTCGGGGCGGCGAGGAGGTCTGAAGCGTGCAAAGGCGGGCTGGGTTTTTTTTGGGGGGGGGGTGACTGTGACACGACGGCCATTGAAGATCTGAGAAGCTGCTGTTTCTTTTATAGGATCGGGTGTCGGTGTACGGAGCGGGGATGTAAGACAATCCACGGCGGTCCTCTGACTGCTCTGTAAACATGGAGGGATGAAAGGCGGGAGAACAGAGGAGGACAGAGGAGCCATGACAGTGAGACCGGGGGTGGGGCGAGGATTAGTAAGGCTGTAATGATCACTGATCAAAGTCAGCCACCGGAGGCAAGGGCGAGACGGGGGTCGTATGTACACACATGTGTGTGTACACGCTCACGGGGTGCAGTCTGTTCTTTTTGCACGCCATGCTTTGCTTTCGGCCAGCTCGATACGCTTTTGCTTGGAGTTACAACAGCGAATGGTGCGTGGGTTGTACTCCACGCCGGGGAGAATTTAAGAATTAAAGGTGGTCCCCCGCACACTCACAGTGGGATGCCAAAAAAAAACTGCCTCAGAGCTGTTTTGCTTCTCCTTCTTGCTTCACTCCTTTAAAAAAAACGGTCAGGAGTTGCAAAAGATGACAAATAAATAAGGATGAACATTTTTCAATTTTCAACACTCCTCAGAGGGAAGCTGTACATCTCTTTTCCTCAAACCTCCATAAACCTTTCTTACTTTTCTTACTTACACTTCCACACACAATCATAGATTCACATCCAGAAGCTTCTCGCACACAAGGCCGGCCGTCTGTAGCACAGAAAACACAACCGCGGTTTTCCCGACACACACACAGACACACAATGTTTCCCTCTCGCACCGCCACAGCCGCGGTTAACCGCCAAAACCCTTTTACCGCCAATCCTTTGCCCTACTTAGCAGTATTGAACTGAGCTGCAAAAGTTCACGCAGACACAGCTACTTAGCTGACTTTAGCCCCACCCCCCCCCCCCTTCCTTCCCTCTCTAACCTCAGCACAGACTCCCAGTGGGTTGGAAAGCCATGTGGGACAGTTTTGCGCTGGCATCCCTGTAAAATCTGCAGGGGGCATGGATACCGGCTTTCTAACAGGCAGGGAGCCCGGGGTCCCAGCAGAGGCCACAGACAGCAAATCCTCCACGTCCCACACACCTCTTTAGAACGAACTGATGATGACTTTATACATTTTTTTTGGTTGTTTTTCAAATGTGTCTTTAACTTTCAACTTCTGGCTCTAGGAAAAAGAGAATCGTGCCCCACTCGTCGAAAAAACAAAACAGCCAACTTGATCATTTCTAACTTCAGTGGACTATCGAGGGTTCTACAAAGGACGTCGGCTCCGGGATCAAGTCCAGCCCCCAGGGGCCAGAGCACAGACCCGAGCTGCTGTTGTGTAGTGTCCTTTACTGTGAGAACCTGATACTAGGGGCACATAATCCACACACAGTGGCCTCAGACCCCCCCCCCCTCGGGACACGGCTTTTTGATGGCACCAACCATTGATACTGAAGACGCACAGGCTTTGATGTGGCCACAATGATGCTCAGCCGGTGTCATTCATGAACTTGTGCCTCTAGAGAGAGCTGCCTATGTGTTTCACACTCCCTCCCCCAACTCCCAGTCGGCTCCACAAAGAGGCCACACTCTCTTAAAAATGAAAGACAGGAGAGGTAAATTGTCTCCTAAACGTACATAAAAAGAAAATAAACACATGCAAGTAATATTTTTTTTAAGGACGCTGTTTGGTTCGAGGAAGAACCGTTACCGTCTAAAGAACTGTTGGAGGGTCTTTGGGATATTAGCAGGTTCTTAATTCATGTTTGAGTTATTTGGATGGTGGGGAATGGTACACCTTCACCCATTAGGAAAATGGTTCCTTAAAGAACCTTAGTCTTTTGTTTCCAGCGGGAACCCTATTCGTTCTCTCTGACTCTGGCAGCAGTAAAGGCATCGCCATGTCACCATGTGTAAATAAAGTCGTGAACTTGTCAAAACAAACGTATCTCCCTGCCATTCTGTCTCCCCTAAAAGTCACTTTGATTGAACGGGTGGTTTTAGCTCTCCCAAAAGGAGAACATTAAAGGCTTCCCCATACAGGGATGTGGTATATATGTATATATATATATACATGTGCGTGTGCATGTGCAGGCGAGCGGGAATAAGCGAGCACATGTGTTGTTGTATGTGATCACACACCCGCTGGAGCATGTGAGTGCCCGCCGGCTGATATCAGCACACACACGAAGCTCGGCTGGGAGATGCTGGGACAGAGAGAGCGTAAAAGCTTCGATGACACTGAGCATATCCTTCCACCCCCACCTCCAAGGCCTGTTGTTATCAGCGCTGTTTACCCAGGGCCGTGAAGACTGCATGATAATGGCCGCGTTATCTGCCCCTGCTCCTTTTTTTAAGCCATCCGAGGGCTACCATCGCCATGTGTGAGTGTTTGGGAAAGGGGAGATATCGGCGAGATGTTTGCTTTTAAAAAAAGACCAAAAAAGACAACTCTAATCGGGGATTTCTTCATCCATTCTGAGCTGCACCAGGCGGGGAGTACATTATTCTATTATCCTATAGCCTTGTATTTCATACTGAAAGATTCGAATTGGAAATTGAAAATCTTTCACTATGTTATTTGTCTTGTGGTCCATTGTCTCACTGTCTTACTGTCCAATGTTATGCATCAACCGCCATGTCATATTTCTTGTATGTCTAACATATTTTTGCAATAAATGTTCCCAATTCCTGATAAAAATGTACGGAGAGCTTTGTTTCATTTAAATGATATCTTTGTGTCAAGGTTTGTGCTGAGGAATCTGATTTAAATTTGCAGTGGTGTTTTTTGTGTTTGTTTTCATCCCAAAGAATAAACATAAAAGATAAGTGACCCTGACATGAAGCAATCAACACGTGCTTTTTTAAAGAAGTGAAACACACCAAGGCCTTGAAATCTTGTCGGGAAAGGTAAAAACTGCCCTGTTAATTAAACTCAGGTGACGGCAGAGATCATCTATGAGGTTTCGCTTAGTTTGGGGCCTGTTTTTGTACACCCATCCACACCGTTAGAGCTACTTACTGAGGGGGTCATCCTTGCTCTTGGTTCCGTTGACCTTTCCGTTCTTGTCGATCCTCAGGAAAAACTTCTGGAAGGAGAACAGCTTCCTCCTCCGCATGTCCCCTTGGAGGTGATTGTAGCTGCGCACGTGCCTGCCCTGCGGCCCCCCTGTCCGACCCAAGGTCGCCCTCGTCCTGGAGATGACCTCCACCTCAGAAACGTTCAGTGGAAGCCTGAGAGTCCGTGGGCTGGCGGGTCTCGGCCTGTCTCTGCGGAGCTGGTGGCATGCCGCTCCGGGCAGGGAGAAGGACAAAAAAAGCACCGCAACCAGGAAAGGCAGAGACAGGGCGGGGGGCAGCAGCGTTGAAGGTAACCTCAGCCTGGAGCCGGTCCCACGACCACATCGAGGCCCTACCCCGGCTCCGGAGCAGGACGAGGCAGAGGCGGCCTTACTTCCTCCGGCAGCCCATCTGATCATGGTAGTGTGCTGTGTGGAGGACTAGAGGCAGCCTCAGAGCCAGGGACATGCTGCTGGGGGCGAGGTGAGGCTGGGAGGGCAGGCAGGAGAGCCCTCCGCCGTCCACACCGGGCAGACCGGGCAAAGTGGTCTTCCTGCAGAGTCTGGATTACTGAATGGAGACCTTATATGTCCCTGTTATGGACTGCGTAAAAGACTGTCCAAGTCCTTGTTTGTTTATTCCACTGTTTCTGTGTTCAAGGTTAATGTCTTTACATCTTTGGAAAGACTACATTAAAGAAACAATAAAGCAATTACTTTGTTTAGTAGCACACCTGCTTTTCCACTTCCTGTTTTCTCATTTGTTCTAAATTAGAAATGCTGTTCTCTGCTGCTCCAGTGTGACCTTTGTATTTCCAGGAGAGAGAAAAAGGACAAACTATTCATATAGTTCATACAGGTAGACGGTTTGTCATGCGTAAATTCCTTAGTTCCAGTGGAATCCCCACTCTCAAAAAAAAGAAGAAGCTGCACACCCCCAGATCTACCTGTGCGATGCGCTCCACGTTGCAGGAAAGCCTTTTTCAGATCTCACTCCGAGGAGGAAAAACACCGACTGAGACTTGAGGAGCGACGCTGGTTAATGTGGGCCCTCGTCAAATAATCCAACGACCCTCTTCTGTTGCACTGCTGCTCGCATCTCCCCCTCTTTCTCCCTCTCACTCTCTCTGCCCCCAAAAGACTCCACCTTCATGCAGCATCGAGGTCTGGGGAGGACTCTCTCTCTCACTCTCTCTCGTGTCTCACGGGTGGGAGCGTGGGGGGGGGGTCAGAGCACTTCACCTCCTGTTGGTCAACTCGTCTCTCATGAGGACCCCCGGTGCGATCTCCCTCACCTGAAGGCCGACCACAGAGAAATGACTGGTGC